TCTCATTGCTTCCCACTCCTTCTGCTCTCCCCTTGAGGCAAGTTGAGGGGGGACCCAAGGGGTCACCACTGGCTCACTCCAGCCGGGGAAGTGCCACAAATGAAAGGAATTTTTCGAAAGAATGAGCGACTGTAACGGTTTTAACGAGCGACTGTAACGGTTTTAACAAACCCATGCTCAGTTCAGGACTTCGCAGCTGCCACTCTGCCGCACACCGTCTGCACTCAGAGCTTCACAGGGGCAAGCAGGGATAAAACTCAGAACTGCCTGCTCCACAAGCACAGGTCCCCGCCCCTTGGGCTAAAGGAGATTCTCCATTCGCTGTTTGCAGTATGGAGCTTATGACACACAGCTGAGCCATTCTGATTCTTTCCAATAGACAGCAGTGGTGCACCCGCTCACACACTCTCTCCTTTCCTCTCTCTATTAGAGTTTCACTCTGAGTTCTCATCTGGGCCTTAACTTCCCCCTTTACTGCAAGGGGCGTCCAAAATTGGGATGCCAAGGGCTGCACCTTGGCACTTTGCCAGGGACCCCAGAAATCTCACCCACTTGCTTGGACAATAAACAATCTCCCGTTTCTCCCCCAAGACCTGCACATTCCCCCCGCCCCTCAAAAAACAAAAACCACTTGCTGCTCAAGTTCATCCAGCTCCACATGGGATGCTTCAGAAATAGCCACCTCAGGGTGCCCCAAACAGCAGCAGGGGTGACCGGATTCCCATGGACTCTCCCCTTCCACAGCAAGGAAGGCTTTGGAGTCAGGGGAGGCAGCCGGGGGAGCCTGTGGTGACCAGGATACCGGAGGGGTCAGGGGCAGCGGGGAAGTCAGGCTGTGAGTCTGAGTCTGGAAGAGGGATTTGGGGATAGAGCCTGGGAAGGAGAATCTTGGGGGACAAGGGACACCTAGGGAGATTAGTGGAGGGTTGGAGGAGAAACTGCTGCTCGGAGATGGCAGCTGGCACGTGGGCCCCTCCACAGCCAGACATCGCCTCGTGCTCTGCTGCCAAGGTGCAGGCAGCGCTGCCAGACCCTGTCCCCGAGGGAAGAAGGCAGGTTCAAAGCAGGGTTTTGTCTACACTGAGTCGTCTACACCTTGGCGCAGCTCAACGCATCAGGTTAAACCGCTTGGAGGGGCTGGTGCCACAGGGGAGCTCACCCTCCTCCTCAGAGGGCAGGTGATCTGAGCCGCTAGCCACGGCGTGTGCGTCTGCTGTTCACGTGGGCGAACATCTGGGGGCAGCAGCTGTCCGATCCCACGTGACGTCCCTCCACTAAAACCTCCCCACCCAGCGTTGTTCTGCCCCCGCACCAGAAACAGCAGCTCCTCAGACCTTGTGGGCCTTGACCATCCATGCCAGGGAGGGCTAGATTTGGCCTCCTACGGAAAGTTCCGGTGACAAACCCGCCTGCTGCTTTCTATCTCTGACCAACCTCGCCTGAGGCCCATCGCCCCAGTAGCTGAGCCCTGGCTGCACTATTAGCCCTCACGTTTCCACTCCCTCCTCCCTGGCTGCCTTCCTGGTGCAAAGCTGGAGTAAATGGGCTTTGGGCTCCAGCCGCTGCTCCACCTACACTGGCAAGAGCCCCGTGCCCATCCCGATCCACGAGCTAGATTCCCACCCTGCAAGAGGCACCCAACATGCCTGGGCAGATGGGCTCCTTGTGCTGCAGAGAGGCCAGGCTTGGCCTCCGAGACAGACTCTCTGTGAGCTGCACTGCAGAACCCCCCGTCCCCAGCTCCACTGCCTTCTACCAGCAGGCACGGTGTGGCCCAGAGGTGGGGAGGACAAGATTTGGGGCCATAAAGTGCCAGACCCAAGTCTCTTCTCTGCCTTCTGACGCACTCAGGGTTTCTGCTGCTGAAGGGAAATGGTCCCGAATACCGGCCTGGGCTGCTAGAATTGCACCACTCCGCAGCGTTTACTTGGCTAAACTCAGAGTAAAGCTGATCTGGGCCGGGACAGAACCCTCTCCAGGCGTGGTCCGAGACCGCGCAACCAACTCCTCCTGGAATCAAGGACCATTTTTCTGCTTCAGTCGCAAGGTGTGTTTCATTGACCTGCCTTCTCTAACAGGACACGTAGCAACAGATATGTTTAACTAATACAGATAATTAAAATAAACCCTATCAGGGCCGTATGTTAAAAACAAAAACAACACACTCCCCTCGATGCAAAGGGTGGGAAGAGTGGCTGTGTGACCTTTTGTTTCTTTATGACGAAAGAAGGCGGCCTGAAGGGGGTATTCTTTGAAAAGGGGGTTCTGTTCCATACTGGTTTTTTGTTACATTACAAACTCACGGCTTTTCTACTCGGACAACTGAGAACTGGAGGAATTATCACCTCCCAAGAAACTGAACGCTGAGCAGTTCCAGAAGGGAAGAATTTTCACCCACATAATAAATCACATTTCTGTCTGAAAATCTTTTCGCTCCGATGGTTCCAACAGATCAGAGATTGGAATGGTTGATCTCTGCCTGGTCAGTTTGTTTGCTTTGTGTGTTGAACAGCAGAGCAGGTCTGATTGTCCCGTCTAGCCCCTTGTGACATCACTCACATCTGTGCAAAGTGCCTGTAAAACTCTGCCCTTTGGATCTGGCAGCATTTTCACCCACTTAGCTCTCACTTTGCACAGGTGTCAATGACGGCACAAGTTGCAAGGCAGGGGAGAATCGGGTGCTTGGTGTGCATTTTACACCATTTTATGCCGATTTAGTTAAACCGCTGCGAAAAGCTGTATGGACATTCTTACGCCGGTTTAAACCAGGCTTATTTATCAGTCCAGAACAAATGGAGGCTAAACTGAACTAGCCCAATCAAACCAAACTAAGGGTATGTCTACACTACCCACAGTGATCGATCTATCAGGGATCGATTTATCACATCTAGTGTAGACGCAATAAAATCAATCCCCGATCACTCTGCCGTCGACTCCGGAACTCCACCGCAGCGAGAGGCGGAAGCAGAGTCGACGGGGGAGCGGCAGTGGTCGACTCGCTGCCCTCCTCACAGCCAGGTAAATCGACTTAAGATACGCCAACTTCAGCTACGCTATTCGCATAGCTGAAGTTGCGTATCTTAGGTCAAACCCCCCCGCCCCCAGTGTAGACCTAGCCTAAGAGAGTGTCCCTACACAGGCGCTTGCACCAATGAAACTAAAATGGTTTCATAAAACTGGTGCAAGTTTGTGTAGACATGGCCTCAGTAGATCCATACATCTCAGAACAAAGACTGCAGGCCATAATTACAGGATGGGGGCCTCTATTCAGGAAGCGGTGACTCTGACAAAGATTTTGGGGTCATGGATAATTGGCTTCCAGTGTGACGCTGTGGCCAGAAGGATGAATGCAATTCTAGGATGCATAAACAAGGGAATCTTGAGTGGGAGCAGAGAGGTTATTTTACCGCTGTATTTGGCGCTAGTGCGACCGCTGCTGGGATCCTGTGCCCAGCGCTGGTGCCCACAATTCAAGAAGGATGTTGATAAATTGGAGAGGGGTCAGAGAAGAGCCGTGAGAACGATTAAAGGATTGGAAAACCTGATAGGCGCAGGGAGCTCAATCTATTTAGCTTAACAGTGAGAAGATTAAGGCGTGACTTGATCACAATCTATCAGCACCTATATGAGGAGCAAATATTTAAAAACGGGCTCTTCAATCTAGCAAAGAACAGTCTAACGGGGTCCAAAGGCTGACAGCTGAAGCTAGACAAATTCAGATGGCAAATTAGGAGTACGTTTTTAGGGGAAAGGAAACCATTTGGGGGAAACAAGAAAATGTGATTATACAGCCACGATTGGAGGGAGAATCCAGGGGCAGGTGTAGGATGGGAAACTCCTTTGAACTCCGGTTTTGAAGCTGGCAGATGACAGGCCCTCCTCTGCCACGCACCAGCTGTTTTTGCTGTAGCCTAGTGTTGTTGTTTTAACCGTTTGGAATTGTTCAGAAAACAGAATTTTTTCATTTTATTTTAGGTCCCTTTGCCAGAGGGATTTTGCTGAAAGATGAAGAGTGAGACAGAGCCCAAACGGGGGAAATTTCAACCCCAAAGGAGCTCTGGGCTCATGTGAAAATGGGGGGTAATAATCATCTTAACTAGAGTAGGTGCCTCCAGGCACTCCCTGAACTGCCTGTACGCAGCACGGACAGTGGAAATGCCAGAGTTCAAAGGGTTAATGCGCCTTCCCCTCCATTCCCATTTCAATCCTGCTGCTACTTCTTTCTGGGTTCCCCAAGGCTGTCCCACCCTTAGTCCTGCCTGCACATCAGTACAGCCCTCACCCATGGCCTGTAGGATCGGGGCCCGGGTCCTCCACAGGACAATCCCCACTGAAACATGGATTTTAAAAATCAGGTATGCAACGAATCTGTAACCGCCTAGGACTTAAAGGGTCTCCCCATCGGCTGCGCACTACTGGCAACTTAGATTGGCTCACACAGCGAGTCCTCCTCCTCCAGAAGCTCACGACCCCCTGCCACTTGGCTCTAACAGAGAATCTCCTTTAGCTGTTAGCAGTATAGGGCTGAGCCATTCGGCTTCTAGGCTCCCACTCCATGGAGCGGGAGACACACACACAAGCTGGTTCATGACAGGAGCCATTTCCCTTTCAGTTGAGAACATGCAGGAAAAGTTAAGGGTGTTTGCCTTGATTGTACCTATCTGTCAATCAGCCCCTGTGTCTTCTTAAATCAGCATTACTGGAAAGGCAAATAGGCATCCGATGTGTAGGACCCGGCGGCACAAAAATAACCTTTTTTTTTTAAAATATGCATCCAACTGTGATGACTAATTTTACGTCTTGGGTCAACCTGCCTCTTTGGCTGCTTTGCACTGTCTTAAGGCAACTAAGATTCACCTTTCGCAACAAGTTTGGGTCCTACTTTCAAGTACACTTAGTCTGGCTTTAAAATACAGAAGACCTCAAGTTTCGACAGCAGCTCCTTGCTAAGAAAGAACTCCCTTAACCTGACCAAAGGCAGAGAAACGCGAGTGACACTGTCACTGGCATAGGTCCGCTTTATGTAGTGGGACATCAACACGCCAAACACACTCTCTCCGGGGTGAGATCTAACCCCCTCCACAAAAGTCTCACCCGCTTCTAAAAAGGGAAGCTAAAGCAAAACCCAGCTACCCCTGTGCCCTCCCCGACTTCTCGCGGCCGGAGTCACGGCTCTGAAACCGTTTCCTGAAAGTTCTTGAGTCTCATGCATTGTCAAACCCTGGAGGTGAAAGTAGCTGAGAAGAAATAGGGTGGCAAAGAAAAGTACATTCGATTTGTGTAAATGGCGGAAGGATCGTGGGGTGGTCTCGGGCCACGTAGCTCTGGAAGAGGGAAGACTGCCAAAGAGTCCACCAAGAGGGGTTATTGAGTTCTTCAAGAGACTCGTTTTTATTCATGCAGAAGGCGCGTTTCCCCCTTGGCTCCAGTTGCATCAGGGCTTGGCCTTCTCTCGGCATGCGCTTCGACTCAGTACACGCAGAGATCTGGGAACTTCATCTCGTACACCGGGATGGAGTGGTTCTGGGGCTGGCCATAAGCCGCCGTGATGGTACCAGACGGGCTCGGGGGTGGTCTGGAATGTCAGAGACAGAGGGGAGAGTTACAGGTGGACTCCCACATTTCATCAAACCGGAAAAACAGGACCCAGCCCGGCCAGTGGTTCTGCCCAACTCTGACTCGCTGTGAAGATTGCAAACGCTTTCCCCCTCCCAACTCAGGAGCCGGTCACCGTGTTACCAGAAGGTGAAGACTGATCACCACTCAGCTGATGTGAAGGCACAAATCCAACCTAGTGCCTCCACATTAGGGCCAAACTGGAGAGGACAAGGGGGCGTGCCGGGGTCTAAAGCCCAGCGGAGACACTGACAACTTTGGGGAGTTGGGAACATGGGAGAGAACCATCCAAAGCAGATCAGAGGCAAAGGGAATGACGGTGAGGCCTGATACAAGGGAGAGGCTGATCTTGCTGCACTTACTGGTGACATCTCTGCACCTTCCCCCACTGCAGCTGCTGTCCTGTGTACTCTGCTTGCCTGAAGCTTTTTGGGGCCAGGGGGCCTATTTCCTCCCACGTTCTGATAGAGCCAAGCACGTCTCCAGTTGTAAGATTGCGGCTGCCCCATGCATGTCTCAACCCAGCCCTGCGCTTGTGCCCCAAGGCACAGGCCATCCAGCATTGTAGTTCACAAGCCTCTCCCCCCTTGCAAACTGCTGGCAGCCCTCTCCCCCGACTGTCCTCTCCCCAAAGAGTCTGACGCTCACCGGATAGTGATCTCAAAGATCTGGTTCAGCTTGCTCTGCAGCAGCGAGGCCTGCAAGAAACAACAATTCCATTAATCGGAGGCTTCGCGCCCCGACAGAGCTTGTTACAACTGCAGCGCCCGGACACATCGCTTCGGGTTTGCGTTCTGCAAGTCCTTGTGCGGGACACAGCAGGGTGCATAGTGCTGCAGCGCGCCAGGGCAGGCGACTGTGGGACACACTCCTTCACCCAGAGTCCTCAGTGCACCTCCACAGGACAGCTACGGAAAGCCGGAAGTGGTGCTGGTGATGCAGGTACCATGCTTCCCTCCTGCGTCTGAACTGACCAACACTGCAGCATGGTGTGAAGTGGTGCTTTGAGATCCCAGCTTTCATAGGAGATTGGGATCTGGAGTCCAGACTAATTGGGGCCGTTAACGTTTCCCTGACATGTTTCACAGGAGCAGGGTGCCCTGGCCAAATTTAGACTTGGATAATTCCCTGCTGTGGTTTTAATTGGATATGGGATTCTCCACTTCCTGTCCCAAAGGGCAGTGCAATGGTGCTGTCTGCTGCTTGAGAGCTGCTTGAGAGAGTGGCTGATGAGATCCTTATCTCTGATGCATAAGGGACTTCAGGGTATTTACAGCAGAAAGGTCTAAATATCATTCACTCCTGAAGACCACCTAATTCTGGAGGTCTCACAGCTTCAGGGAGCTGACGGCTTCCTGTGCTGTCACAACCACCTCTCCCATGCGTCACCCACAGGGTTGGAACTCGGAACATACTACAACATCGGTCTCCACCACGTGAGCTAAAGGAATAGCTTAACTGGCGGGTAGCAGTAGTAGGGTGTTATCTGCTAGCAAATCAGCCATTAGCCGGGGTAGGAACCACACTTTGCGGTGTGCTACGCTTTGGTTTTATGACCCATTGGGACGGGCCCAGCACGTCCTCCCAGTCTACGTCATCTCCACGGCAATGCAGAGCTGGTGGGTGAGATGCCAAAAGCAGAGACTCACCCGGGCACCGCAGTGAGCTGCAATCTCTTCAAAAGGAGCTTTCTGGAACTTCTCCACCACCAGCCGCCTCCTCTCCCGCTCCTGCTCCTCCACGGCAACGCTGTCTACTAAAGCACCCGGGGGGGACAACAAAGCAATGGTGAAAAAGCTCTGCGCAGCGCCAGGCACACAGGCCCAGAGTCTCAGTCATTCTGTTCATGGGTTCTGGGGCCATGCCCAGATCCTGCCCAGCCCCTAGGGGATAGCATGCTCTTCTATGAGCCCTGGGGTGCAGAGAATACCCGGAGAGCAGTGCCTTCCCCCACTCCTCATCTCCCCTGCATGCCAGGTGGTGAGAGCAGGCTGAGCGCCACACTGCACAGCTACTGTATTTGGATTTGTGGGGGGCTCAGCACCCTTGGAAAATCAGGCCCCACATGTCTCATTCTGGGCACCGACACACCCCAAAATCTGGGCACCCAGACACCGACGCACCCCAAAAATCAAAGGACACATTTGAAAACTTTGGCTTAAGCAACATGCCCAAGGTCAGAAAGAGAGTCAGTGGCAGCAGTTCCTGGCTCCCAGTGATGTGCTCAGACCATTAGCTGGCCATCTCTCCAGCCCTAAAGGGGTCTCGCTGTGAGAGGCTCGCTGGCCAGGCAGTGCGGTGGGCCTGGGGCAGAATTTGTGCCCTGACACTTCCAGTCATGTTCATGGAGCAGAACAGCAAAAAGAGGGGACGTTTTACACCCCCTGGACACACACACAATGTGACCAAACACAGCTCGATCTTTCCTCTGTGTGCAAACTAACTTAGGCTTAACAGAGCAGCACCTGGGTGATAATGTACAGCCTGGGCATGCAGAGGGACAGACAAGAGGATCTAATGGTCCCGGTCTGGCCTTAAACTCTGTGGCACTCTGAAAGATCGCTCAGTTACTTACCAATTGCTTTCTTCAGGGTTTCGTACGTGATCTCTTCAGCGGGGGCTCTCTAGGGGTAGGGCAAGAAAACAAAGATTATACCTCCAGGGCTATTTCATTTCAGAAACAGACCATGAGGTTCTAGGGTCTTGATTCCTCCAGTAGTGTGGCTTACCACTAGGAGGCGATACCTTTCGGGGCTCAAGACAGGGGTACCTGGGTGAAATTGAATGGCCTGCACTGTACAGGAGGTCAGCCTACATGGTCCAATGGTTCCTTCTGGCCTTAAACTCTATGAAGGTGCCGACTATGGCGACCTCCTTTTCAAAAGGCAGAAGCGGGACACATGCAGGAGCCCCGCCCCTTCTGTGGCCCCACCCTCTGCTCCTCCTCTCCCCCAGAGGCCCCACCCCCTGCTCCTCCTCTTCCCCCCCCCCAAGGCCCCGCCCCCTAGCCAGGCCAGAAGCCAGAGTCAGGCCATGGTAAGAGCGGCTGCCCAGGGAGCCCGGGCCACTGTGTGGCTCCCCAGACCCTCCACCTGCCCTGGTCAGGGGGCTGGAGTGCCTGAGAGCAGCCCCTGGACCACATCCTCACCCGCTAGGGTGCACTGCCTAGGGCAGGTGATGGGTGCAGGACTCTCCAGGTGGCTCTTACAATGGCCCGGTTCCATCTTATAGCCTGGCCAGGGGTGGAGCCTCGGGAGGTGGGGGTGAGAAAGGAGGGGCAGGGCCCTGTGGCAAGGGGCGGGGGCTAAGGCCCACCTCAGCCCCCCAATACAGGAAGAGGCTGGCACCGCTCCTGAGCCTTGGGCAGGCGCAGGGGCACCACAGGGAATCCGGGACCGGGACATGAAATGTACATTTCGGGGCTGTCCTGCCCATTTCGGGACAGGTGGTCACCCTAGGGCCGACAGGTAGGAAGCCCAGAGTCTATGGAAAAGGATAAACAAGAAGCGGCTGCCCAAGCAGTGGCTTTCAGAGAGCGAAGCAATCAATCAAACACGCTCTTGGAAGGTAAATGCAGGAGAGAACCGCCATGCGGGAGCTCTTCCGGCTCCCTCCCCCCAAGGATGGGACACAAGCCGTGATTACCCAGCCCTGGCCGCCAGCAGGGGCGTCAGGCTGTAATAATTCGTGTGTAGGACGCTGGTGGGCACAAGGCCTGTTCACCTCGCCCTGCTGAACACATGAGGAGTGAATTATTACCCCATCGCTCACGGCCTGCAGCGCCCAGACGCAGACACAGAGTGCTCGGCCAAGCATACTAATGAAAAATTATACGGTGCTTAAGTATGTCACATTATCCTGTTAAAACAGGAGTTTATGGGGAGAGAAGGCAGGTCAGGAGATGGGAATGTTTAGCACCAGGGGGAAGGCTCGGGCTTGTCTTTTATAGGTATTTCGCTCCCACAGATCCTGTGCATTCAACATAGCTGGAACCCCAGCAAGGATCTGTATTAAGACCAAATTCTCTGAAGATCCTGGGGCTTCAGGGAGGTTTTAGACTGAGGGCTTGGCTACACTTGCAGATGTAGAGCACTGTGAGTTAAACCAGCCCTCAGAGAGCGCAGGAGGGAAAGCGCTGCAGTGTGTTCACACTGTCAGATTCAAGCGCACTGGCGTGGCCACATTAGCAGCTCTTGAAATGGCCACAGAGCAGTGCATTGTGGTAGCTATCCCAGCATGCAAGTGGCTGCAACGTGCTTTTCAAATGGGGGGGGGAGAGTGTGACAGGGAGTGTGTTGTGTGTATGTGGGGGGAGAGAGTGGGTTTTTGGGGGGCTGAGACATGTCAGCATGCTGTCTGGTAAGTTCAGACAGCAGCAGATCCCCCCTCCGCCCCGCCTCTCTCTCACACACAGCATTCCACACTAATGGATGCTTTGTCCCGGAGCAGATAATCAGCCGGCTGTCAGAAACTGAGCTTTGAAAGGGCATATCCGCATTCCTGCAGCGATTCCAAAACAATGACAAGAGTGGCCACTTGACTTCAGGGGATTATGGGACGTTTCTGGAGGCCGATCAGAGCGCAGTAATGCAACACCTCGTTCACGCTGAGGCGCACTCTCACTGAGGTGGAATACCAGGAGCGCTCTAGCCGTGGAGTCAGAGCGCTCGACGTGCCTTGCCAGCATGGATGAGTCGTGGGTTAGGGCTGCTTTAATGCACTCTAACTCGCAAGCGTAGCCAAGCCCTGAGTCTCTCTCTAACCACACGTGCAACATGGAGTCAAGTCCCCGGCTGGTGAACAGCGAATCTCAGAGGCCAGGCGAGCAGGGAGGGGTGTATGGGAGCGGGTCTTCGCCAAGATCTCAACCCGGTGGAAAGAAGGGGAAAAACAATCCGGGGGATGGCGGAAGGGAACGATGAGGGGAGATGAAAGAGCTGCCCAGACACAGGCTGTCTGCAAAGCACCCGCGCTGGGGGAGATGGGAACACTCTGTAAGCACTGGGGGAGAGGGGGGAAGAGAATGTTCTGGATGGGGCTAGAAGTAATGGGCTCAGGGAAACGTCCGCAGGAAAAGCTTCCCAGGCAGGAAATCGTCTCCCTGCGGGTTCACCCTGCATGATCTAATAGGGCTCTGCCATCCCTAGGTTTGATAGGAAAATGGCTGTCCCAAGCAAGCGCCCCCCTGCCGATCCAGCCGGCTCAGGACACTGGGCACCGGCAGAGGAGCCGTCTAGGCAAGCCACAAAAACCACCCCTCCTGCTGGTGACATGGTGTAATGACAAGGACAGTTCTCAGGCTGGCCTGAGCAGGCGGCCAACGGGCAGCCCACAGTACCTCCTCTTTCTCGGGACTGTTCCTCGATTCCACTTCGACCTGAAGAGAAATGGTCTCGCCGATGCTCTTCCTCTTGGACAACCGATCTTCGTCTGGAAAACAGGGGGAGCCAACCCGTCAGGAAGGCAGAGAGGGGAGACACCGTTTGGGAGGGGGGCTGTCTGGGTCAGAAGAGGGAAGGATGCAGAGGTTGTGGAAGCTCCTTTGCTGGAGGTTTTCAGAAGGAGGCTGGAGCCATCTGACCGGGATGGTTTAGACCCAACAAATCCTGCAGCTCAGCAGGGAGTAGACTAGGTCTCTTCTGACCCTACGGTTCTACTTCTCTCTCTCCTGTAGTTATTTGGCCCCTGCTGCCATAGCGTCAGAGCTGCTCACAATGCATTCCTGCTCACAGCCCCCCTGTGAGGCAGGCCAGTGCAGTTATCCCCATGGTACAGGTGGCGCACAGAGACTAAGTGATTTGACCAAGGTCACGCGGGGAGTCTACGGCAAAGCAAGGACTCGAATCTCGGAAGCTAGCAACTGAGCCATGCCACTTGCATGGCAGGGCACTGCAATGGAAAAGGCTGCAGCACGCAGGGATGCTCTGTACCATACCTGTCAGCTGGGGGATGTAGGGGGTGCTGAGCCGGTCTGAATTATAACCGCTGCCTCCCAGCACCTCGCTGATCTTGCTCTGTCGGAAGAAGACCTCGGGCACTAAGTGATCCAGGCTCTTCGTCAGCCTGCATGATTGAACAGGGAGGAAAACAGGTGACGACATTGGCACGTTGCAGTTTGGGTTACCTAGGCCCTTGCTTTTCAGTGGCCTGTAGGGTTTCCAGATGAACAATTGGTGTTGGTCCTGCTTTGAGCAGGGGGTTGGACTAGATGACCTCCTGAGGTCCCTTCCAACCCTAATCTTCTCTGATTCTATGACTGGGACTGCTCTACCTCCCTCCCAGACAGCCAGATCAGTTCAGGTGGGCACAGAAGACTCTGACCATGATCCTCCTCGGATTCACACCAGCAACAGCAGAGTCACCCTGGTCTGAGCAAGATCAGAACCAGGCCCCTCGGCATTTCTGCCAGGAGGAGGAGATGCCACCACCCGGGGAGAGAGCTGATGCACGGTCTCTTGACTCAGTGAAGGACCCAAGGGAAAGGAAATGACTGGCAGCTTCTTCTCCAGGATTCCTCCTTCAACTCATCTGGCAATTCGAACCCACACAAAGGCTGCTAATGGAGAATTATAAAGGGCCACAGTTGGTCAGCGCACAGCTGCAGGCGACGGTTCTGACAGGTGCAGCAGGATTTCTGCCGCCGCTCGGAGCTCAAACCAAGGGTGACAAGTGCCTTTTACAGCAGGGGCACTTACCGGGGCGTCTCCACAAACACGTCTTCTGGGAGTAGGTATGGCGCCTCCTTCTGCCTCGTCTCGAGGACCTAGCGGGGAGGGGAGGGAAGAGAACCTGTCAGCGGCTTGTCCTCCATGCGGCAAGTTAACCAACTTAGCAAACATCCATGGGAACCGAACGTTCAGACTTCTTCGTTGAGGCCAGTTTAGTGCTGGGGACAGGGGCCTGACGGACAGCCCTGGAGACAACAATCCTCTAGCTGCCCCCAGAACAGGCGCTGCGTGGGCAGAGGCAGCACAAGCCACCCCACACACACACACACACACACACACCCTACCTCACCACCAGGCCTGCCTCCACCCTGCCCTGGAGCGACCCCCTCTCAGAGTGGGAGGGGAATTCAGTCTTCAGCCTCCCCGCTGAGACAATCAGCGAGGGGACCAGTAAGTGCTACCTGCGGGGGTGGGTTTCCTGATGAAGGACTTTTCAGCTTGGAAAAGAGCAGACTAAGGGGGATAAGATAGAGGTATATAAAATCATGAGTGATGTGGAGAAAGTGAATAAGGAAAAGTTATTTACTTGTTCCCATAATATAAGAACTAGGGGCCACCAAATGAAATTAATGGGCAGCAGGTTTAAAACAAATAAAAGGAAGTTCTTCTTCACACAGCGCACAGTCAACCTGTGGAACTCCTTGCCTGAGAAGGTTGTGAAGGCCAAGACTGTAACAGGGTTTAAAAGAGAACTGAATAAATTCATGGAGGTTAAGTCCATTAATGGCTATTAGCCAGGATGGGTAAGGAATGGTGTCCCTAGCCTCTGTTTGTCAGAGGATGGAGATGGATGGCAGGAGAGAGATCACTGATCATTACCTGTTAGGTTCACTCCCTCTGGGGCACCTGGCATTGGCCACTGTCGGTAGACAGGATACTGGGCTGGATGGACCTTTGGTCTGACCCAGTATGGCCGTTCTTATGTTCTCTCTGGTCACAGTTGACCGAGACCCTCCAAACTCATTGCACACAGCCCAGCCAACAGGCATGATTTTCAGTGGCTTTCAACCTGGGCTGGATTTGACCTGGTGACCTAGGGCCAGGTCAGTGTCTGCTGTAACACTACAGACCTTGGGGGAGTTCCACCAGCCACGGATTTGGCTAGGTAACTGGGCCACTGCAAGCCCATGTCTCCCACTGAGAGCCGGGTTCCCTCCACCCCCCACAGCGTACAGCTAAGAGCCGAGAGGGGGTCCAAGCCGCACTGACCTCGTGGATGTGCTGGCAGAAGGCGGGCACCGTGGTGAGCTGGCTGATCAGATTCAAGTAGGCGGCGCCGAGGGCATAGAGGGCGCAGCGGTTGTACACAGGCAGGTTATCCTCGTTGATCTGGGCGATCTCCTGCAAAGCCCACGGACAGGGAGAGACCCGTCAGCATGGGCCAGACCAGGGAGCGGGTTAGTTTGTTAGCCAAGCAATGACAGGCGGATGGGGAGACAACAAACTAACTGGCAGGGGTTAGGACCAAAAAAGGTGTCACAGGGCGGCTGGCACTTTAAGGGGAGTTTGGCCCCGTCTCGCCTGTGACCATAGGCACTGATTGTTATTTTTCCCTGGGAATGCTCTACCCCGAGGCCCTGCCCCCACCCCCCAAGGCCTCACCCTCGCTCCGCCTCTTCCTGCCCCCACTCTGCCCCCTCCCTCAAGGCCTCACCATCGCTCCACCTCTTCCTACCCCTGCACTGCGCCCTCCCCCAAGGTCCCCGCTCGCTGCCCTCCCCCAAGTCCCTCCCCCAGCTGACAAACTGCTGATCCACAGCCCCGCGGATCAGCTGTATCTGGTGGTTGCTGAGCACCCACTGTTTTTTTCCCCATGGGTGCTCCAGCCCCAGAGCACCCACCGAGTCGGTGCCTATGCCTGTGACGGATCAGCTGCCTCCCAGCCAGCCATCAGGTGAGCCTACAAGCCAGCAAGTGGCTCAGTTGGGATGGAGAGCTACTGGCGCAAGATTGGTTCCTGTGGCAAGGAAGTCGGATGGTGGAAAGCTGAAGGCAATAGAGAGGCCACTACAGAAGACCCCTGGTTAGCCGGGAAGAGATGACTGATGTGCTGAATTTACACGGAAGAAATAAAGCTCAGGGCCTGAAACAGACTCCGGTGTGACGCTGGTTCCTTCCTGGGCAGCCAGGCCAGCAGCCTACAGCATGGATGGGATATGAACATCCTAGTGGGTGGTCCAAAACCATGTGAACTGAGTGGGGAGGGGAGAGCCCATATAGCTGCTTCTCCACCTCAGTGCTAGCCCCGTGTGGGCAAATGCTGAGATGTCTACGTGCCACACTGATTTAGGCTCAGAAGCCGGATGTCCCTTTAACCACTTCATGCATCTTCTCTGTCTAATATTAAGTAAATGTTCCACTGAAACCAATCCATCACAGAAAGGTAGTAGCTAAATTCGTCTGCATTTGTCGAACATACGGCACTAGGTTTCCACCTTATTACCAGGTGGCTTTGCTCACTGCCATTTGTGTGTGCGATAGGTGAGTGGCAGGGCAGGGCTGCTGTCACGTTCGTGTTTTGTTTTCCAGTCTGGGTTTACTGGCTGCGTTGCATTTACTGGTTCATTTTTGTATTGCTATTTATTCCATTGTCTTAAGGTACCCAACGGCTTCTAGGTACCCGATGCGGAGAAATAAAAGAATATTAGAATGTTAATCGCAGTGAAAGGCTAAAAGAGAAGAGGGGTTGGTACTGCCTGGGCGAACATGGAAGAGAAACGGTTCTCAAATATTCATTCAGATTTTGAAACTTGACTGTGTTCAAGGCTAAGATGGCGGAACTTACAAACCAAGGGGGCGGAATGAAAGTGCTGCTGTAATTCCCATATTACTCCCGAAGAAATTCTGCGCCAAAAAATTGAAAAAATTCTGCGCAAGTTTTAGAATTCTGCATATTTTATTTGTCAAAATAACACAATATAATCACACCATTTTCAATTATTTGCTGACAAGTACACCTCTACCCCAAGATAACATGACCCAATATAACACGAATTCCGATATAACGCGGTAAAGCAGCGCTCCGGGGCGGGCGGGGCTGCGCACTCCGGCGGATCAAAGCAAGTTCGATATAACGCGGTTTCACCAAGAACACGGTAAGATTTTTTGGCTCCCGAGGACAGTGTTATACACCTGGAGTAGAGGTGTATTTTGAAATAAATTACCAAAGTAATTGAAAATGGTGTGGTTATATTGTTACTGTGTTATTTTGACAAATAAAACATGCAGAATTTTGCAGAATTCTAAACATTTTAAGGTTTGGTACAGAATTCCCTCAAGAGTATCGGGGTTCTGTGTGGCGCAAGCTGGATGCAGGGAGCTCGGCCGGGGGGGAGGGCGGGGGGGTTACAGGGTGCGGGGGGGATCTGGATGCACAGGAGCTCATTGGGGGGGTTCTGGGTCAGGGGGAATGGGACTCTGCAGGGGAGTCCAGGTGAAGGTAGTTAGGGCTCGGGGGGGGGGGGGGAATCAGGGTGCTGGGGGAGTGGGTTTGGTGGGGTGGGGGTCAGAGTACAGCTGGCTGGGGCTCAGTGGGGTAGGGGGCTCCCAATGCAGGGGGTGAGGCTTAGGGAGATGAAGGTTTGGGTGTCGGGAGGAGTTAGTGGGGAGGCTCCTGATGCAGGGGGTGTCACTCAGTGGGACTCGGTGGGAGGGTTCTGGGTGCAGGGGTGTGTGAGGCTTGACAGGGGGATTAGGTGCAAGGGCTGAGGAGCAATGGGGCCAGGAAGTGGGGGGAGGGGTCACTGTATGGGAGGCTGCTCCCCCTGTCCACCCAACCCCTGTGCGTTCAGACACACACACCGGCACCCAACCCCCTCTGCCGAGCCTCACACCTGCACCCAGACCCCCCCCCCCCCCAGACCCCCTTCTCCCCTCCCCCCCACAGTGCAGAGCTTCCTGCACCTGGGGGAGGGTCTTGGAGGTTGATCTGACCCAGCCCCAGCTGCCCCGTGCAGGGGAGAGGGAACTCTGACTCTGTCATCCTCCTCCTCCCCCTCTCTTCCCCCGTCCAGCCAGGACTAATGTCCCTGGGCAGCCGGGGAATCCCCAGATCCCCACACTTCCCCTCGCACTGACTTCTCTCTCTCCTGGCTGCCTGAACAGACACGCCCACGCTGCCGGGGAGGGGTGAGTGCGCACTGGTGCAGCTTCTCTTGGTTTCCACACAAAAAAACATTTTTCTGTGGGGAAGCAAAGACAATCTGCAGAGGGGGATAGTTCTGCGCATGCGCAGTGGCGCAGAATTCCCCCAGGAGTCCCACATCACACAGCTCTCCTGCAGCCCCTCAGAACATGAACTGTACCAACCTCGCCGCACTGAGCCAAACCTGGATCTCATTTGCATGGATAAAAATCTGGAGTAACCCCGTGGGCCTTCCCTAATTCAATATCGCAGCATCCATGTGGGGAAGGTAAGCATTACAGACGTGGGGCCGCATCCTGATCTCCACTGGGCCAGTGTAAAACTCCATTAAGTCAAGCAACATAATAGAGCCCAGAATCCAGCCCTGGTAAATTTCTTTTCACCCACTAGCCAATGTGGAATTTACACCACTTTGGTCTGTCTGCTCCATGCCTAGCTGAGGTCCCTGCGTCGATCCCCTCTTTGCACCGACGGGGAGAGGAGCCCTCTACGCTGGGGGCCCCGCCTCCAGGCCCCTGCACTGCTCACACGATCCTACCTGCACTGCCAGCACCAGGCGGATCAGGTCCACCACCACCTCTTCGTTGGCCAGCTCGATGCTAATGAGTGCCAGCATGCTGTAGAGCGCCTCGTAGTGCGGCTGCACGTTGCTCTCCTCTTTGCTCGTCAGGTAGATGTGTCTGTAGAGCTGCTGGGAATGCTGCCGGAGAGAAGAGAGCACGGCACCATGTAAATGGAGCCCAGGGGAAATACAGGTTAGGGGGGAGGGGGATAGCTCAGTGGTTTGAGCATTGGCCTGCTAAACCCAGGGTTGTGAGCTCAATCCTTGAGGGGGCCACTTAGGGATCTGGGGCAAAAATCACAGGTTCTCGTTGGAGAGGTGTAACAGGAGCCAGCCAAGCACGGCACAGGTCACAGTAGCAGATGCTTCTACCCAGCCTTCGCTAAGTACTAGACACATTAGCCCTATGGCAACTCTGTTCGTGGGGAGCCGCTGCATTCTGCCTTCAGTGGCATCTACAGCTCCGACGGGCAGAATCTGACATTCAAGGGGAACAGTTCTGCCATTGGAGTCTGTGTTGTATCCACCAAGCAAAGTATTGACAACTTCAACAGAACTTTATTTACAGTGGAAGTCTTTTTTCTAAGCTGTAGCTGCACACTCTGTAACTCTCCCAGCCTCCTCAACTCCTCCCCCCTCCTTCCTGTTTCCTGTCCTTTCAGACTCCCAACAGCCAGTGCTCCCAGTTCTAATAATTACAAGCACACCACAGTCTGATACTGCGAGAGGCCGAGCACCTTCTGTAAGGAGCCGAGACCCCTCAACTCAGCACATCTCAGAGCCCGGCTCCTGATTCCAAAATACATCCCCAGTCCAGAAAGCACACCAGGCCCACTGAAGGGATGCAAGCACTGTCTTAAGCCGGGGCGCAAGGCTGCACGCCCTTTGCCGTCCAGCTTTCCTCTAGCTTCCTATCCAATGTTTCAAACTAGGTTCCTTATTGGTTGTGTTTTGGTCGCTCCTGAGGGCCCCCCCATCACACTGGGTCTACAACCCATGGATTTCCCCAGTGGTCCGTACAGAAACTCACCACCAAATCCTGGCTCCACTAGGCAGCTGCCTGTGCAGATTCACATTAAGAGACGGATGCTATAAAACTGCGGTGAGTCCTTTCTACCTATTCCCCCACCCCCAGGGCAGATCAGCAGGGATGTGGAAGCTCATTCTCCTACTGCCAGAAGCCGTGGGTTTCAACCTCAGGATCACCACCTCAGCATCATGTCTGAGGAATCCAGAGTTTCTCCAGTCCTAAAATTTCATTGTCAACTTGAACTCGCTTTTCTAGTTGCAAAGGAAATCTTGTGCGTTTAAACAGGGTAGAATCCCTGTTATACAAAATGAGGGGACCAGAGCATCAATGAACAGAAGGCACATGTGTAACTTACTAGATAGAGTTTTCAGAGCCTTGGGATTCTGTGGTAGTTGCAATGATTGAATGGGCGGGTAGAAGTAGGTTCATTTACTCTATAGCAAATGAACCTACTTCTACTGGGGAATATGCAGGGCCGAAAGTGGGCATTCACTCATGAAAGCTTATGCTCCAATACATCTGTTAGTCTTTAAGGTGCCACGGGACTCTTTGTTGCTTTTAATGGATGGTCTGGGGATGCAAAAGAACATTCACGGGGCAGTGAGTGGAGATCAGCTATTAGAATCCAGTCAGCGTATCTCACACGATCACTGGGTGCTCCCAGGCACGGGTGGACTGAGATGTTTCCTCTCTTCTCAGCCACGCTGCTCCACGACATGGGGAACCGGGCCACACCCCTTATCCGTGTCACATGCGTTTTGTGGGAGAGTGAGCTGGCACAAGAGCCGGCCAGCTGCTACCATCAAACAAGCCCCAGCACCTACCTTCTTCATGAAGACGGTATCTTGGCGGGAACACTTGTCCACTTTCAGCTTCAGGACAGAGATGTCATTGATGGTGCTACAGTTAAAGAGACAAGGGGAAGGGAAATCTAGGACCCAGATGCAGCGGAATATTGTAGGAGGAAGAGAATTGCCCTTCCCTTAGCCTTCCTGGTAGAATACAAATCTCCTCCTCCACTCGCCCAGCTACAGCACCACCTACAGGGAGTAAACTAGTCTGGCAAGAACCGATGCTGGAGGCCTGTGGCATATTTTTAAAGAAAACTGAGCTATTAAGAGATGTAAAACACTAAGCTATCGCCTGACCATAGTTCATCAGCAGTAGCCCTGTCCTATTCCCGCCCCTGCGCTTGTTTGCAGTTACGGTCACTTGTATGTAACAGCATCATCTCAACTGTAAACTCCCCGACCGAGTGTCCGGTCTCTGTGTTCTGCAAGGCTCCCAATCAATGCAGTATTAGGTTGGGCATCTAGGCTCTGTGACATGAACACAGGCAGTAGGAGGAGTACTTTCATCTTTAAAGGGTTTTACAGGCATTAATTAATAATCATCACAACAGCACCTGTGAGAACAGCAAGTATCAATCCCCATTTTACAGAAAGGGAAACTGAGGCACAGGAAGATTAATGCTCAGCATCCCAAAGGAAATCAGCAGCAGGACCAGTAGGTGCTGGTTCCCAGTCCTGGGATTACACCCCCAGATTATGCTTCTCGACATTTCTTTACTAACATTAAAACTTAATTTTTGGAAAAAGGACTATACTAATTTCAGGAAACGTGCGTTAAAGGGCGCGTATATGCCTGTTGTAACATGTGTAGGTGCTACCACCACCCATAGGTGCCCGACGGAAAACCAGAGGCTGATCCCAGCCACAACCCTTCCGCGTGAAACACGCCAACGCACCTGATAGTTGAAAACTTGGGCCTGTTTCCATGGCGGTCAATGAAGCTGATCAGTATCTCAAGGACAAAGAGACGCAGGTCGGCGTCTTCCATCAGTGCGGCCGAGAGCAGCCTGTCCAGGAAAGAACTGGGCAGGGCCGTGAGCATGTTACTGCACTGGAAGCCCGTGGAGACCTGCAGGTTGCACAAGGTGGAGGGAGAGCAGACGGGGGATATTAGCCCGTGGGAGAAACGTCCCATGGATAGAAAAGCATTTACTAAAGCTGGGGGATGGGCGGAAGAGAGTTGCTGGACCTGCCCGAGCTCCACTTTAACCCCTTGTGGCACAGGGAGCAGCTTGGCATGGGAGCTTCCAGGCAGCCCCCAACAGGCTATGGGATGGGCTGGCGCAGAGACAGTCATGAAGGGCAGCGACCACTATTCCAGCCCGCAGGCCGGGGCTGCACCTGCAACTCACACAGCGTCCCTAGCGTCGAAACTCCAGAAAGAGGGACTGGAAATCAAACCCATGTGGCACAGCAGGGTACTAGCCACAGAGCCACCCAGCCAGTCCTTGCTTTGGTACATTGGGTTCGAACATGGGTACTGTTCTTTGCATGAGGGTGAGCAGTCAAACCTTCCTGAGGACGAGCAGGTGCCCGCCCGCCCGCCCGCCAGCCACCAGCTGTCCCAGGGCAAGGCCTGTGCTGAGACTACGTGGGCAATCACTCCCAAACCAGCCACACCTGCTAAGGGACCCCGTTCGTACCTGCAGGAGGGATTTCAGCAGCATTATCTGAGTCAGGCGATTCCGATTCTCCCTGCAGGGGAACAAAAACCAACGTTGAACTCTGCACGGAATGAGACTTACAGAAACCCAAAGCAATCAGTCTATTCTCCGCGCCAGGGCTGGGGCAGGATTGTTCCCTAGGGGATATTTCCTAGTGTCTCGGCCAGGCGAGTTTTAACAGCTCAAGCAACGGTGGCCACAGGACTAACCTTAACACTGGGGCACTCGCTGCTCAACAGATGTCATTGCCCTTGGCTCCTAGTCAGACCCCTGCAGGCCACCAGACGTAATTCCTCTCTCCTTAGCATTCACACCCTTCTATTTGCAGACAGTCATCCTGCAATCACCCCCGGTTACTGCACAATCAAGCTCTCCAGATTGCGGGCTTCATTCTTGTACCAGTGCAACACGACTGAGTGCAGTGGAGACACGCCGGCTTTTCACCAGTCACTTGGGCGTAACGCATTCATTAGCCTCTGCTCTGTAACGAGGCACCAACCCAGGTTTCCATCATTTCATTTTTCGAGGTGAATCCTGAGGTCCTTACAGGGGGCTGGTCTCCACTGGGAGCGGACATCGGCTTAGCGAAGTCTCTCAGGGATGTGAAAAATCCACATACCTGGATGCAATTAAGCCAGCCTAACCACCCTGTAGACAGCACCAGGTCTTCTGTCCACCTAGCTACCGCCTCTCGGGGAGGTGGATTAACAGCAGCGAGTGGCTACATGGAAGTACTACAGCAGTGCGGCTGCAGGTGTACCACTGTAGCATTTTAAGTGTAGACACAGCTGGAGTTTTAACTCCGTCCGTGCTCCCTGGGTTAATTAACATCACGGGGAGTTTGCAGGAAAACGCTATCGTCCTTCAGCCATTTACAACACTTCTCTCCGCGCCCTCTATCTCTGAACTCCGAGGCTAAATCACACGGCAGGAAGCCGCATCCCACAAGGCTCAGTTGTGAGCTGTGACTTCCGTAGGAGCAAGAGCTAAGATACGCAACTTCAGCTACGCCAATAGCATAGCTGAAGTCGGCGTATCTTAGGTCGATTTACCTGGCCGTGAGGACGGCGGCGAGTCGACCGCTGCCACTCCCCCGTCGACTCCGCTTCCGCCTCTCGCCGCAGTGGAGTTCCGGAGTCAACGGCAGAGCGATCGGGGATCGATTTATCGCGTCTAGTGTAGACGCGATAAAATCGATCCCCAACAAATCGATCACTACCCGCCGATCCGGGTAGTGTAGACGTACCCTTAGTCTCCTGGTTTTTTTCCATAGCAAAGAACTAAATAGCATTATTCTACTCGCTGGGGGTAAAAGCTTTTCACACAAACTAGCCACGAGCGTGAATGCTGCTCTCTGGGCTGTTGTAACACAAATGGGCTGGCGCTTCATTAAATACCACACAGTTATCAGTGGTGCTTTAAGCTCCGACATGCCTCCTTCTCCAATGAGAACCACGAGAGCTTGGCCCACCTCTCTGGAAAGCTACAGAGAGATCTATGACCTGCTTTCATGGCTTTGTCCTTCTAGCTCCCTTAAGCTCTTCTAATGAAGCCACGAGACAAGTTAGAAGAAGCAGGGCATTCGTCACTAAAAGGAGACCAGGCAGTTCCTGCACTCTCCGGGCCTGACTGACATCTAGCACTGATGGCCCTTCGGGGAGCTCCATTTGTGCTCAGCAGCGAGCGGCTGCTATTCTGGATTTAGGTCGCATCCCTGGCTTTTATTCCCTTTCCCAACTGTACTTGTACCCGGCTCTAGTCACTGGCCAAGGCTGAACTTGTGACCTGACCTATGGGGACATCGTCTTATCTCCAGCTGTCGTGGTCTGCAGCTATAACGCCTCCCCCTCCTGGGAAGGACAGACTTCTCTAGAACCCGAACTACAGACTTCTAGCACTAGGTTCTGAGGGCCAAATTCAGCCCCTTTACTTCCCCACGAGCAGGCCCATAAATCAGAGCACAGAATTTACAATGTACGTATATGGACACTCCCCTTTGGAGTCAGTTACTTCAAGCGGTCGGCCGCCTGCACTTGGGCCGGAGAGCGGTCTCTAATCGCCAAGCTGATGCTAGCGATCATGGTATCATTCCCCCTGGGTTGAGACAAGGGAAACTGTCTTCAATGGGAGCTGTGAGTGCTCATCACCCCCGAACGTCAGGCCATAAGTGACTTGCTCCAGGTCATTCAGTGAGTCAGTGGCGGGGTGGGGAATACCGGCCAGGATTCCTGACTCAGTCTCCTGCCCGAAGCCCTAGCCCTCCGCACACTTCCAGCCTCTAGCAGAATAGTCAAGCAAACCCACATGGCTAATTCTGATGACGCTACTAGTCTCCTGTGGCCGTGTCTGCCTGAAAGGATGGAGATGCAGCATTAAAGCATTTAATGAGCAGCAGGTTTAAAACAAACAAAAGGGACGTATTTCTTCACACAACGCACAGTCAGCCTGTGGAACTCCTTGCCAGAGAATGTTGTGAAGGCCAAGACCAGAACAGGGTTCCAAGCAGAACTAGATAAATTCATGGAGGATAGGTCCATCAATGGCTATTACCCAAGATGGGCAGGGACGCAACCTCATGCTCTGGGTGTCCTTAGGCTCTGAGTGCCAGATGCTGGGAGTGGACAGCAGGGGACGGATCACTCAATAATTGCCCGGTTCTGTTCATTCCCTCTGAAGCACCTGGCATTGGCCACTGTCGGAAGACAGGACACTGGGCTAGACGGACCGTTGGTCAGACCCAGCGTGGCCGCTCTTTTTAAAGCTCTGCTCTCCCAAAGCTCTCTTGCCCCAGGAGAATGATTCCAGTGACATACAGCAGCTACGTTCTGAACAGACAGCAAAGCGCGAGAAGGAAGAGGGAAACCCTTTGCTCGTGACACACTGGATTCACACACCTCTCTAACTGCACCGTAAAGAGGCTTTGAAAGGGAATTTGGAGGGTGAATGCAGATGGAGAGCATGGCAGTCTGCAGTCCTCTATAGACACAGAAATGGCCGGGCAAGCTTCCTCGCCACGGCCCTACCAACGCACCAAGCACTGACCGAGGGGGCTGGCGTGAGTCTCCACGGCCCACTCGCTCCTTGGCGTCTCTGTTACTAAGGGAACCGGCTGTGGTGGGAGCTCTCATCCAATAAAAGCTGGACTGAGCTTCACCGCTCATTTTATAAAGGTCACAGATGGACACTACCTACCACCACCGGAGGCTGGATTTGAACCGGGGACCTAGAGGTGAAAGGCGTTTTCTACTGCACAATGAATCAGAGGAGCGGCCCCAAGAGTCAAAGGCCTTCCTGAAAACTGGTCCTGGATATGAACTAAAGTCTGGCCCAGTGCATGGCTGGGGAGGTAGGGGACACTTCCCCAGGGATCCCTGCTAGAGCGAATCCAAACCCAATTCTTGAGCAGCTTCCAGTGTGTCACCCGAGAAAGGTTCCCTTTTCGCAGGAGGGGCAGGGAGCGAAGAGAAGTAAATCTGTCCTCACCCAGCTTTTCCAGCGTCTATAGCGTGGTGCAGAGAAGGCAGCGGGACCTTGCTCATTATAAAGAGCATGACCTCTGACCTCTGATAGGTGGGGAGGGTGCTGGCAAAGGAACCTGAGAAGACAGACAGCACTAAGACCATGCAAGACAGTCAAGGCCAAGTCGCAGACGGAACACACGCCCAGTGCCCGTTTCCACAGCGGACGCCCACGCGCGCCAATCTCTGCCCTGGGTGGTGAGCGGGAGTCCCACGCAGATGCCAGGGTGGGGGGCAGAACTGAGCCCTGCATGTCCGTTTATCTACCCCACAACACGCCTGGCCAGAGCGAGCCCCCAGGCTGAATCTCAGGAACAGCCCCAAGGGGCCTTCCTCCTCTGATTCCAGCGAGCGGGAGCCGCGGGGCGGCCCACCGGCATTCATGGGAGGGGTTTATTTCACGGTAGTAGCAGAGGTTCGGTAACTCGTCACCAGCACACAGCTCAGGCGATTAGCATTTGGTCTTGACAGGCATCAAGCGGGACCTTTTAGCCACTCAGAAAGCCAAAAATTGGGGGGAAAGGCCCACCTTAACCAGCGCCCCAGGCAGCAGAAGTGGCCTTCAGAGCAGTAGGCTCCGGCACACCCTGCTCCGCTCAGCCACAGGCTTAGCGGCACACAGGGTCACCAGGTCAGGGGTAAGTACGTCCCGGCGGAGGGAGTGTCGGGGCCTGTCCAGCCGGTGCCGTTCCCTCTCCTCCTCCCCCTGGGTTTGCTCAGAGTCGTGAGTGGAGAATCCGCCCCGGCAGGGCGGCAGAGCTTGGCTACTGGGGCTAAGCAGCAGGCAGGCTGGCTGCAGGGCCATTCACGGCGTAGAGAACCAGGCCTGAGGAGCTTAGGCAGTGGCCTGTAGCAGCTTCCTCGCTCGGATTTCTCTGTCTCCCCCCATGTCCCTGCCCGACACTCACCCCCCTTTCTCGAGGGAGGGGTAAGGTGAACAGGGCCCAGATCCACCTCAGGCAGACGGCAGACAGCCGAGCCCAGCGGGCAATGGGCTCCCCCTGCTGCTGCGCCACTGCTCAGACCAGAGGCCTCTGTGACGGGCAGGCCTGGATCAGAGGCCTCCTGCCCCTTCACCTGGGCACCTGGAGACAAAACGATCCTACTCCAGCCATGTAAAGGCAGCTGCACACACCTAGGACTGCAGGGAGGCTGGTAGCTCGTAGTTAGCTCATGCCCACTATCTCTTCTTCCTCCCCGCCTCATTGCAAGGCTGGGCCTAAATTCTGAACTCCTTCACGCTGCTCCCAAACCGCACAAGGGCAAAGGGAAATCGCCTCCTAGAGCCAGAATCTCTCTGCAATTCCCTGGGTTCGTGTTTGGGAATTCTTGGGTGGATACTGCCCTCCGCTGGTATTCCACTGTCATTGCAAGACAAGTGCCACCGCTATTCCTCTATTCATCTATACCGCCAAGCTAAGGACAACAACTTTTCAATCGTTTGTTTGTTCTGCACCTCGGTCCCGATTTGCAGCCTCTCCTGACCGTGCACCAGTCAGGCTGCGAGTCTGATGTGGACAAACGGGAACCCAGATGACAGATCCATCCAAGTCACAGCCACTTATGGGCTAAACTGGATCCAATCTTCTGCCAAAGTATCAATTTCCTACAGGAAGCCAATTCACCCCTCTGGGAAACTGACAGATGAGACAGAAGTGAAATAAAGGGCAGGATAAAGAAGTGGGCGACAGTTCCAAGAAACTCCCGGGTTTGTGTTTCCCATCGAGCGGACTGGGAAAACCAAGCTGTTTTAAAAGAACCTCGACTGGGATCTGGTTCCAGCCATCGCTGCTCGGAACGATCGTTCAGTTCTAGGGCTCAGATGTCACTTTCCCCGAGCCTTTTCCCAACGCCACTGCTGCACTTCCCCCTTTGTCTGGAGGGCCTGACCCCAAGCCGAGTCTGTGGGCTTCGACGCAGACTCACAAGTCAGGCCGGACTTACATTTTCCTGGTGTTCCCTAGTGTTGAATCTGACTCAGTACGTGGGAACATCAGCCAATTAGATCCCAACTGACCTGCCCTGTAACTAGAACCCACCTGTAGGGCTGGCTCCTCCTTGGCTAGCTGATTTTGCTCCTCGATTTGAATCGTTTCCTGTTTTATGGGTCTGGTTTTCGCGACCATCAGATCACCCTTGTCCAACCCGACCGACAGCTGCAGCAAACGACTATGCCCTTATCCGAACACATCCTTGTTAGCAGAGCAGGCCCCTCCGGCCAACGGAGGCGGCGATGCCCTCCCGGCGCGCGACCTGCCTACCTGTGGTCTTGATAACGGCCTCTTGGAACATCCTCTCTTCATGCTCCTTGATGATCTTGGTACCGACGACGGCACAGTCATAGCTGCCCGTGAGCTCATAGTCGATGCTCAGCCGCAGCTGCCGCAGCAGGGTGTTGAACACTTCCAGCACAGTTGGTCCTGAGAAGGGCAGGGAGGGCAGGCAGAGGCATTAATCAAGAACACCACCTAGCTCTTAGAGCGCTTAAAGGTCAGTATCCTTAGCCCCAATTTACAGATGGGGAAACTGGGGCAAAAAGAGGGGAAGGGACTTGCCCAAAGTCACCCAGCAGGCTAAGCGCCGAGCCAGGAATGGACCCAGACCCAGGCCAGCGGTCTAGCCACTACACCACATTGGTCCCATTCAGCCAACGCTGCTACCCCTCCTGGGACATGCAGCCCCACTGTAAGCGAGAGGGGGCTGGTCACACTGGGATGTAACCTGACAAAGAAGAGGCCATCCCAGGCTTATGGTGCCTGCTCTTCAGACCCCCAGCAAAGACACCGGGCCACGGTGGAGAGGGCCACAACTCAACCCTCCCCCCTCCCACCAGTATGAACCTCACACTTCTACACTAGCAAAGATCTCACATCCAAGGATCATTTCCGAGAGCTCAGCCTGGGGTTTGCCAGCGCAGACAGGACCGAACGGGGCTATCGATTTGTTAGCAATCTGCGGTAAAGCCCTTGTTAAACCCAACTCAACTCAACGGGGAGTTTGGCCACAACTTTTATTGGATGAACTTCTGTTGGGGAGAGACAAGCTTTTGAGCCACCCCGAGCTCTTCTCCGGGTCACCGTCTCTCTAATAGCCTGGGACCAACACAACTCCAATTACGCTGCCTATGAAAGAGAACCCGGCAATTTTGCTATGGAGATGCACTCAGCCGCACGGACTTGTCCAGTCTTCAAGGTGCAAAGCATGCTGGGACTCAGGACACCTAGGCTCCGTTCCCAGCTCTGCCCTCTACCTGCTGTATCATCTTGGGCAACTCACTTCACTGCTCTGTGCCTCAGTTTCCCCTCCCATCCTTTCTCTCTCGTCTATTTCGATTGCCGGCTCTCTGGGGCTGAGACCATCTCTCACTGCGTGTTGGTGAAGCGCCTAGCACAAAGAGATCCTGTACTGCCAACAACAACTACCTGGTTTCTCCGAGGGTCTGTGTGTATCTGGTGCATCTCTGGCCAGAATACACGTGACCACATCCTTTTAAGGACTATAAATACAAGAAAGAAAGACACAGAAAAGGGGGCGGGGGAGGAAATGTATGCAAAAGCAAAGCCCAGTAAAATCCGGATGAGGTGAAACCTCCTTCTCTAACCACCTGCCTGCTCAGCTCCTTGTTCTACTGACCCCGTCTCATTAGCTGCTTTTTGCAAATGGGGAAACAGGCCCAGACTGGTTAAGAAACCTACCCTAGACCACACAGTGGGGCAGTGCCAGAGCCAGGAACTGAACCTAGGAGTTCAACTCCCAGTCCCCTGCAACAGACATTAGACAACGCCCCCTGGCCTGCTGGGCTTGAGACACTGAAGCTCAGAGGTGGGAAACCCACAGCCCCAGGGAATCCAGGATTTAAGAGAGTCTGATAAATGGACAGAACTCATTCATCTGCGTTTTTGTCCCGCTGTGCGTCAGGAGGCCAGGAGTGCAAGGGGTACGGAGCACAGGACTCCTGGGTCTCTGCCCCCCACTGCTAAGCAGGAGGAACCCCCCCGTCCCCAGGATTCTGTGATTCTACCGCTCGAAGCAGGAGCGCTGAGCACAAGGGAATCCACAGGCAGTTGCGCTATCCAAATGCCAGCAGCTCTCCTGTAAAGCCCATAATCCCAGTCTGCATGCGCTCAGCTCACCCCGTATAACCAGCCAGCCTACCAGCGCATAAGGGCAGCTGAGCTCAGGCAACATTAGGGGCACCTCCCTCGGCCCACCCGGGTCAAGGGAGTGCGGCTGCTGCCTGGGGTGGGAGCAGAGGCAGACCCCGGGTGTAAAAGCCTTGCCGTGGAGTCCCCTTCTCCAAACACACCACTGGCCGCTCTCAGATCTTTCCAGCCGGGAGTCAGAACAAACCGAAATCAAACCACTCTCCCCCCGAAGCTCCGACACTCCCTGCTCTCTGACCCGGCGCCCACGGTGCCAGCTGCTGGCAGTGCAAAGGGAAGCAACGAGCCAGGCTGAACCGTTCCCTGATGACACAGCACTGCTGGCACCAACAATCCATCAGCCCCGTGTCTGCCTGCCTCATTTCCTTCCCAGTTGCGTAGGGGTTTTATCCCCAGCTGGCATCTCTGCAATGCCCCAGCCCGTTAATGGGTCTCGAAAGGAAACTGACTGAAATGCTTCCAGTCACTACAGTGCAGAGGCCTGCGCTGGGCCAAGCTTTCACCACGGCTCCCAGGGCTGCCATCTCCAGCTCCTGAGAACCAAGCTCCCACCGTGCCTCTCAGATCAATGACTGCTGCAGGGAATCACTCCAGCCCGGAGAGGCAGAAGCAGGCTCAGGCGCTGGAGGGAAGGGGAAAGCCATGGGAGTGCTGGACTGGATCCCTTCCTTACCCACTGATCCCGAGGCCGCGATGACAGCTGCCTCCGACAGGACCTCCACGATCCCAGCCCGCACCGTGGCCGCGCTCTTGCTGTTGGCATCCAGGTGTCCCAGGAGTTGCTGGATCACCAAGTGGGAATGCTGAGGCTGGAAGGAAAGCGGAGAGTGAGCCGTGCTGATAGATGGCAGCGGAGCCAGGCCGACCTTCGCGGTCTGGGGGCAATTCCTGCCTCGGACATCGGCGCAAGAAAGGAAGGCCTGGCAGTCAGCACCTGGCGGATGACGCCCACGCGAGGGCAGAATCCAGCGTTCCCATAGCGGTGCCACCTCTACAAAGGCAACAGCAAGGAAGGCAGCGGAGCTAACCGGAAGGCGCACAGGGAGCGGGGTCACTTCTGCACAGAGCCTTTCCTGACCGCACAATGGTTGTCATGAAATATGGACACACACACAGCACTGAACTATTGACCTATGTTTGTGGAACCTTCCAGACCAGGCCAAATTCTGTGCCCGCCTGCAGCCCATGTAATACCACGGACGCCAGGGAGAGGGCAGCAGGAAGGTGAGTCAGTGGCCAATCCTGCAAGCGCTGAGATCAATTGAACACCAGTGAGCGATAAACGGGTCACTCCTAACGGCACCCACTACCTCGAGCTCAGCGGATCGTTCCATGCACGCATTAGCACGGCCACAGACATGCAGGTATGACAGGTCGCCTGGGAGGACAGAATCAGGGAACTGCAGCACCAAAAGCACTGGTCTCTGCCACTCCATCTCAAGGGGACCATCCTTAACGAGGGGCAAGTAAGAGGCTGGGGCCAGCCAGTAGAAGAGGATGTGCTCACACAGACTGCACCTGTATATTTATGGAAAGAGGCGCAGGGAAATATACTGTGTAGAGAACAAGCGTCACTGATCCAGGAATACACTGGATGACTTTTCGAGCTACCAAATAGAAATGGATGTGCAGAATCGAAACATACTTACGAAAGTCGAGCACACGGAACTTTAGTCGGGAGATGTGCATATGGGGGAAATGATTTACAGGGTTTACATATGTATAAAAGCCACTGTCATGATTAATCCTGTATGCGGGGTGGTTGTAATCGGGTCAGTCCCTGGAATGGGTTCCCTAGGGAGGTGGTGGAATCTCCTTCCTTAGAGGTTTTTAAGGTCAAGCTTGACAAAGCCCTGGCTGGGATGATTTAGTTGGGATTGGTCCTGCTTTGAGCAGGGGGTTGGACTAGATGACCTCCTGAGGTCCCTTCCAACCCTGATATTCTATGATTCTATATTCGAGAGATGAGGTGGGGGAGGTCATATCTTTTAGTGGACCAACTTCTGTTTGAGAGAGAGAAACTTTCGAGCCTCACAACGCTCTTGTTCAGGTCTGGGAGAGGTACTGAGAGCGTCACAGCTAAATACAAGGTTGAATAGCTTAGCATTGCTCCCTTACAATATGTGCTTCCTACTTGTGCTAAACTATCTGTTTGACCTTGTATTTCGCTGTGACGCTCTGAGTATCTCTCCCAGACATAAAGAAGAGCTCTGCGTGGCTCGAAAGTTTGTCTCTCTCACCAACAGGAGTTGGTCCAATAAGTGATTAATCCTGGGTACTTATGAAGAGAGAATGTATTGATTGTGTATCCTTCCAACGGGCCCTGGTGAGTTATACGCCCAGCATTTAGATTTTGTAAAAAAAAATATATATATATATATATATATATATATATGGATTTTATCAAACCTAATCTAAAGATAATGGGCATTGGACAGTTTACAAGATAAAAAATGCAGTGAAAACGGGTGCCTTTTTTAAATATAAGCATTCCCCAAGGACAACAGAGCTGAGCTGGCAGGAGAGAACCATAAATCAAAATTAACTAGAAACAAAAGTGACACTGACATCTTAGGTACCCTATCACTGTAGTATCTAATAGAATTATCCTGACCACATCACTGTGAGGCAGGGCAGTGCTACGATCGCCATTGTACAGATGGGAAACTGAGGCATGGGGCGGCTAAGTGACTTGTACATGGTCCCACAGGAAGCCAGCGGCTGAGCTGGGAATTGAAACCTGGTCTCTGCAGCTAGTGCCCTAACTGCCAAGCTGCCCTTCCTCTCCGTTCGCCCTGCTGTGCAGAGTGGAAAAAGGATAAATAACCAATGCACTGGATGAAAAGTACATGGGCTAAGTGACGATAAAGAAGGGAAGGGAGACGACAATCCAGACAGAAATATATTTTCATTGGGACTCAAACAAAGAGATCATGGAAACATTTCTAATTACCTTTCCAGTATCCTACACACGAGGGTCAAATTCTCCCCTCACTTATCTCCATGCAACATCTTGCTAAGCCACTGGGGCTCCGCGGGAGTGACTGAGTGCAGAATTCGACCTGTATCGTTTTCTCCTGTCTGCACAGTTTGTGCTTAGCCGCGGGCGGCTCCGTTCTCTTTCTGCGGAGACAGGCGGTGTGCTCTGATGGAACGACAGCAAGCTGGGAACGGGTAGCTCCCAATAGCTCCTGTGACAAGGTTTTCCACCCTATTGCCATGCCACCTAACTCAATGGGAACTTGCTTTGCACTAACAAACAGGGAAAGAACGGCTCCCAAGGGAGAGAGACAGGCTGTATTCTGGTTCCCCCATGCACACGGTCCTCTAGAGCGGCATTTTATTAGCTTGCAGGAGAGGGTTGTTAGCCCTGGCCAAATTCCAAGGTAGGCAATTGACCTCTGCCTAGGTAACCCCTCCCCTAATACAGCAATTGCGGATGGGACCCCCAACCTAAAGCATTACTTCTTGTTATAGCTGCAAAGCCCAGGCAGTCCAAGACAGGAAATCTCAGGGCCAAATTCTGGCTAGCCCCAAGTGGGTGCACAAGGAAGGGCTCCAGGAGTTGCTTGCCAGGGGTTGGCCAGAATCCCATTAGGAAGCATATTCCCTGCTAGCCACTTCACATGCACCAGCTCCCTGAAGAGGGCAGGGCCATGGTCCTGTTGCCCGAACCGGCTAGCACGGCTGGGAGCACACTGAACTAACTACCACTCCAGCAGGAGCGCCCCAGGAGCTCTGGCTGTGTCAGCCTGAATTCCTCCTGGGAGCGCCAGCCTCATGACAGGCCTTCTTAGTCCTTCTCCGGCGTGCAGGGCAGGATCCTGACGCACAGCACAGCGAGGGGCTCTCATTATTTACCGCACCGGGCTGCGAGCATGTCTAACGAACGAGGGAAGGGAAAGACAAAGGCAGGAACAACAGGACAAGGATTCCACATACTCCGACTCAGGCAAACTCTCACCGACTGAATAACAGGTTTAGGATCAGTCACTAGTGCCACAGGTAAATCACGGAAGTAGTATGAGCTAGCGGTTAGAGCACAGGACTGGGACCCAGGAGTTCTGGCTACTAATCCTCAGCCTATGGCCTTGGGCAAGTCACTTAGCCTCCGTGCCTCAATTTCCCCATCTGTAGCATGGTGGCAACAAGCCTCCCCATCTTTGCAAGGTGCCATGTAAGGGCAAGGTATCAGTATTTATTTCAAATACATGTGTCAGTCTCTAAGGTGCCACAAGTACTCCTAGTATTTCTATGTTGATGTAATCTGCAAAGAACCATCTGACAGCAAGCTTCTGTGTTGATACATACAGATTAGTTCCAGGGAATTACCCACACTGTTTTACATAGAGTGCAACAAATCTGTCCCTCATTGCCAGAGCACTGCATGCAGTGGTTACTCAGACTTTCACAGCGACAACAGGGACAGAAGCCAGATCCTTCTCCTCTAAAAGAACAGGCCTTCTCCACAGTTAGCAGCACCGGGCCACTGACACACAAGTGGTGCAGTTCGGATTCCTTCTAGCAGGGAGCACCAGGGCCCACACTCACAATTCATTACCATACTGAAGCGACACAAAACGCCACCTCTCCGGCAGCTCACCTGAATGGAGTACATGATGATCTTAAAGCAGCGAATAGCAAACGTCTTTGGCTCCCAGAGCGAGTGGTTGTCTAGATGGCTTCAGGGGAAGAAAAAAAAAAAAAAGAGAGAAGAGTGAGTTTAGCAATTACAGAGGCTTGTAGGCTTGCTTGTACGACAAGCAAAGGCATCTCTTCCCTTTGCTCAGAGAGAACAGCAAACAAACAGTGTGGGAGGCAGGTGACACAGAAGCAGTCAGAGCAGGGAGCGAAAGGAGGCCGAGGAGCAAAGATCGGGAAGGGGGAGCCGACGTAGAATTGCAAACTGCCAGCTAAGGATCAAACCCTGTAAAGAGCTAATTTGTCTGCCATTTTCCCAATTCCCTCCCAGCCTCAGGAGTTGCTCACTTTTAGGGGTTAGTCCACAGCTTGTGCTCACTGAATTTGCCCCTGTATGGCTGGGCCTGGGACCCAGGAACTCCTAGGTCTTTATATCAGCTCTGCCATTCAGTCCCTCTGTAACCATAGGCAAATCGTTTAGCTTTTCTGTGCCTTGGTTTCCCTCCTCACCAAACTGGGGCTGATAGTTACCCGCCCACCAGGGGAAGTAGTTGTTGGGAGGAGGACATTACCTAACACGTATACAGCACTTGGAAAAGTGCAATGCCCTAGGTATTGGAACAAATCCACAGCCCACAGGCCATCAGAGCTATCATTCTGCTCCAGGCTGCGGCCACTAATTTCAAAGCAGCAGCAGAGATGGAACTCGGCTCGTCCTGATTCGGAAACGCCGGCCCCACTGCCACTTGAGCTAAAGGAGACTCTCCAGAACCCATGAGCAGTCTAAGGTTTATGACACACAGCTGAGTAGATCTGATCACTTGATGATTACCTGTTCCGTTCGTTCCTTCTGAAGCACCTGGCATTGGCCACTGTCAGAAGACAGGACACCGGGCTAGATGGACCTCTGGTCTGACCCAGTATGGCCGTTCTGATGTTCTTATGATTCCATTACATACAAAGAGACACCAGGGGTATGTCTAACCTACAACCTTAAGTTGACCTATGTTAGGCCAACTTACAACTATTGCAGTAATTACTGCGGTGGCTGATGTCCACACTGCCCCCCTTCTGTCGGTGGTGCGTGTCCTCACCGGGGCACTTCCATCGACTGAAGAGGGGCAGTGTGGGGGCCTGAGAGCAGCTCCTTGCCAGGAGCCCAGCTACCCTCTGGGTGTCTCACCTCCCCACTCCCAGCCAGGAGCTGGGGTACAGTCACCCAGGGTTTCTCACTTCTGGCGAGGAGGTCTGCGCCCGGGGTCTGGTCAGCTGCCGTACTCCCCGTGGGGAGCGGGGAGCCAGGACCCCAGGGGGCAGCAGGGAGCCCCTACGGCAGCCCAAGCCAGGAGCCTGGGTGGCAGCTCGGCTTGGAATAGAGACCCGGCAGCAACCCGGCTGGGGAGCCAGGAGCCAACTTTCTTGTCAATTTCACAGCCCCAGCTGAGCCATGAAATTGACAAGACCGCCGATGTAAGGAACAGGGTGTTTATACAGACACTGCCTTGCCCCCACATACGCCCTACGCCTCTCCTGGAGGTGGAGTTACGATGTCGGTGCAGTAGGGCGCTTACATCAGCGGGAGCAACCCTGTAGTGTAGACTCTGACATGGTTAGGTCGCCATAACCTGCCTTATGTCGACCTAACTCCGTAGTGTAGACCAAGCCTCACTAATTCACAGCAACATTATTGTTCCTTTAGATCAATAATACAAAAGGGTCCCACTCTGGGACAAAGGCGGAGAAGGAAAAGCAAACACAGAGAGCTAGAGGGTCCAGCACAGGAGAGATGTGGGCAGGGTGGAGGGACAATCACCTGATCGAGTGACTTACATGAGAACAGGTTTGATGGCGTTCTTAATGTTCCCATAAGCCGCTCGCCCCAGTAACTCCCGCAGGCACCTTTCTGCCAGCTCAGTGGGACTCTCTTTCTCCTTTTCAGTTGCTTGCAGGGGAGATGGAGAGCGGCTGAGAGAGAGCGAGAGAGAGATTAAGCCTCATCCGTAGAACCACTCAGTACAGCAGCAATCAAGGAGACCCATTTTCACACCCTTATTCTCCTGTCCCACAACACGACGCTCTCGTTCTCTATCCAACACTGTGCTCCCAGCGCTGCTGCGAAGGACGCCGGCATGCAGAATATAAAAACCGCCCTTTGGAACTGGAAATCTGGGCCTACGATGAGAGTCATTCTGCCTCCCTAAACTCCAGCTACATTAGTGGCTCCTCACATCTCCTTCCAGGTATGGCTCTGCACCATGCAGAATAGAACTGCTGTGCTCTGCTCCAGGGCAGCTGCGTTTCAGTGCTCCGCGAAGGGATCCCCTCTGTGCAATGAGCCTGTTGAATAGTCTGGGCTCCTTTGATATGAGAGGTGATCTATAAACAGAAGGGTGCTGACTATCGGACCCCACCCACGCGGCCCACCCCCTCCCGCGCAGATCCTAACCTTTACCAGCGCGGCGCAGCTCAGATGTACCATGGAATGGAGGCAGCCAGTGGGAAATTCCTCTTTTCCGACAAATTAGGGCTCCAAGTAAAAGAGCACATTTGGCTGGGAGTTTAAGAGGTGCCTAGTTTATTCTGCAACGGGCCAGTAGGGGGAGCTCCGACTCTCCCCTTCCCCACCAAAACAACATGCTTTGTGCCTTATACACTCAGCCGGGAGTAACATGTTGGAATCGAAGATCCAAGCTCCTGATGAACCCAAACAGCAAGGGCTCTTTGGCTGTGATGGTGGCTGGCACTGACTGCTTGAGAAACCATCTCCTTCTAAATCACCACCCACAATAGCTATGTGCTTAAGAACCTAAGAGCGGCCACACTGGGTCAGACCAAATGTCCATCTAGCCCAGTATCCGGTCTTCCGACAGTGGCTACTGCCAGGTGCCCCAGAGGGAATGAACAGAACAGGTAACCATCAAGTGATCCATCCCGTCGCTCATTCCCAGCTTCTGGCAAACAGAGGCTAGGGACACCATTCCTGGCTAATGGCCACTGAGGGACCCATCCTCCATGAATTTATCTAGTTCTTTTTTGAACCCTGTTATAGTTTTGGTCTTCACAACATCCTCTGGCAAGGAGTTCCACAGGTTTACTGTATGTTGTGTGAAGAAATACTTCCTTTGGTTTGTTTTAAACCTGCTGTCTGTTAATTTCATTTGGTGTCCCCTAGTTCTTCTGTTATGAGAAGGAATAAATAACACTTCCTTATTTACTTACTCAACCCCAGTCATCATTTTATAGACCTCTATCATATCCCCCGTTAGTCATCTCTTTTCCAAACTGAAAAGTCCCAGTCTTATTAATCTCTCCTCATACAGAAGCTGTTCCATACCCCTAATCATTTTTGTTGCCCTTTTCTGTACCTTTTCCAATTCCAATATATCTTATTAGTGCCACCGGAGGATGGACGGGACCACGAGGGTGAGTGGGGTCAGAGCTTCCTTAGCCATTGGCCCGTGACTGCGGAGCTCAGATCAGAGTGAGGAGAGACCCCAGTGCCTCGAGAACAATCTGAAAACACACACCGATCTGCCTCGGTTTCCTGACAATAACAGCCATCGCCCGGGGGTGGGGCGGGGAGAGAAAGTTAAAATTCGAATCATGTTTGAAAAACTTGTCTGGCACTCGGGTGCCATGGCGACGGGTGCTGCACAGACCCCTGCGTAGGCAGCCAGACAGTGAATCAGGGACAAGGAGGCAGCAAAGCGCACAACTCGCTGCTCCCAGCCAGCCCTGTGCTTCTGACCCCCGGCCCATAGGGCAGGAGATGGACCTTTGGTCTGCAGTGTGTATCTGTAGGAGACTGTCCATGTACCACAGACTCAGTAATTACAAAAACTAAACACATCGAATATCAGGGTTGGAAGGGACCTCAGGAGGTCATCTAGTCCAACCCCCTGCTCAAAGCAGGACCAATCTCCAGGCAGATTTTTGCCCCAGATCCCTAAATGTCCCCCTCAAGGACTGAACTCACAACCCTGGGTTTAGCAGGCCAATGCTCAAACCACTGAGCTATCCCTCCCTCTGCACCTGAGGAGCCAAATACACAGGTCTCAACCACTTCAGCTAACCCCTTTGATGGGAGCACTACACTGCATACTAAGCCTGGGTCTGTGGGACCTGCTGTTTGCAAGCCCGGGCTTGAGTGTCCTCACTGCACTACAATTGTTGTCTCCGGGTGTCTCAGCCCTGCTAATGCATCTGTCCTGCATTGGGCTGACCATTTAACGCAGGTCTGCAGGCTGAGCTGTGTCCACACTGCAAAAGGAAGAGGGCTTGGATCTATCGCAGCAGGACTTGGGCTCTGACCCACCCCCTTAGCAGGGTCCTGGGTCCTCAGTCACTGATTTGTGTGTGATCAGAAGGGAGACTCGGGCTCCATGCGCACTATAGGCATACCCAGAAAGGTTCCTTTATTCTTTCTGGGAGCCAACCACTAGAGGAGGGTAGACACCCAAAGCCAAGAGACTGCAGTGTTTTACACACCACAAATGCCTATTTGCATATGAAACATGGAGCTTTGTGCGCTCATTCAAAAATCAGACACCCGCCCCCACCCCAGCCAGAACCTGCCCTCGCTTCACCCTATGCAAATCCAGAGCAACTCGCTGCCTACTCAAGAGTTACTCCAGATACACGTGGGCACCAGGATCTGGCCTTCCGCTTGGACCATTTGCTTATGCGAATGCCATGAAGGAGTTTTAAGCCTGAACACTTGATTTCTGAGGCATCTTTCCTAACCGTCAAAATAAACCAGGCAGAATTCATGCATACGTCCCCTTCTCGCCAGTCTGTAAAAGCATCCAAAGAAGAGCGGGTGGAGGGACAGCTCAGTGGTTTGAGCATTGGCCTGAGTTCAATCCTTGAGGGGGCCACTTAGGGATCTGGGGCAAAATCAGTACTTGGTCCTGCTTGTGAAGGCAGGGGGCTGGACTCGATGACTTTTCGGGGTCCCTTCCAGCTCTATGAGATAGGTATATCATTATCACCTGAGTAATTTCCCTTAAAAATCCCTGTCTGCTTGTGAAAACCCAGCAGGCTGGGGCGGACACGCCTGAGCCATACGATGGGGAAGGGAGAGAGAGGTTTTACCTAATCTCCTGTCACAGCTTGCACACTGTTTACGGGGCAATTACTCCTCTCTAAAATTGGAGTCAGAGAGGAGAACAAGCTGAGAGTCTTATCTGGCAAATGCACAGGTCTGTGCCTTCACCTTGACAAGCAGAGCTGCCTCAAGCTTCCTTTCACTTCATCTCTCTGTGCCTACGTTCCCCATCTGCAAAGTGGGGATAACAACACTGCCTTGTCTTGTCTGTTTCGATTGCAAGCCGCTCAGGGAAGGGGCTGCTTCCTTCCAGGCGTCTGTACAGCAGCTAACACAACAGGGCCTCTAAGCATTATCATCACAATGAAGAACTTTCCCAGCAGACAATTTCAGTCCCGCAGAGAGAAAACACCACAAACAAAAACTCAAGTTGCCTCCTTTTAAGGAAACTTCCGAAGGCCCCAAACTGTAACGCCCAATAACTATTGTGTGTTTCAGAGAATATAAGCAAAACAGAGAGCTGGTAGCCGGCTACAAGGCAGAGGGCGGGGAGGTTCTGCCACTAGCTAGCTGCAGAACTTGAGAAAGGCACGGAGCGAATCACTGATTCGGGGAAAACATTGGGTTTTTTTCTAGCAGAAACTTTTCAATTCGTTCAGTCAAAAGTGACCCCCCCCGCCCCCTGTTTTCTGTTTTGTTTCATTTTCAGGTTGGTTTGTTCAGGTTAACAAAAACCCCCAAAAGTGGGGGGGGGCGTTGTCAAATCTAGCTACATTTCAAAACAAAACCATTGTTTCGAAATGAAAAATCAAAATATTTAGTGTCTAAATGGTTGGAATTATTTTTTGTCTTTTTAAATATGTATTTTCTTCTTTTTCTTTCCACCAGATTCGACCTAAATTTGCAAACAGTTTTGGTCCCCTGGAAAATGGATGTTTCGTTGAATTTACCATTTGCCAAAAGAAAAAAGAAAAGAAAAAATGTCACCCAGTTCTGCTTAAAGGTCACCTGCAATGGAAACAAAATGTCTGGATTTTTTTTTTTTTTTACACCTCTTTATGATGTACGCAGAAAGCCTGCTGGGGGGTTGGGGTGCAGCCAGGGCCAGCTCCAGGCACCAGCCGAGCAAGCAGGTGCTTGGGGCGGCCAAGGGGAAGGGGCGGCACGTCGGGCTGTTCGGTGGCAATTCAGTGGCGGGTCCCTCTTGAAGGGAAGCACCTGCCACCGAATTCCTGCCGAAGAAGAAAGCGGCGCGGTGGAACTGCTGCCGGAGTGCCGCCGATCGCAATTGCGATCGCGGTTTTTTTTTCCCTCCGCAGCTTGGGGCGGCAAAAACCCTAGAGCCGGTCCTGGGTGCAGCTCAAAGGAAGATGGCTTTGCGGTTTTAGCCACCCCTTTTTTGTGACAATAGTAGGAAATACGGGTCAGGTCCTCAGCTCTGCAAACCAGTGTAGCTCCATTGACATCGATTTGCACCAGCTGCTTCAACGTGTACACTGCGAATAAAACCAGACAGCCTTCCAAGGCTGGGTCCACTCATTTCTCACTCAGCAAGGACAGAGGGCGCTCCAGGAATTCAGACCCTTCCTCGCCGCTCGGGGAACAGAACAAGAGTTTGCTGCTACCCAGACTCTACCACTGGGGAAGTCTAAGCAGCGCCAGAAACGCTATCTGCAGTTCTGCGCTCCCTACCGGGAAGGGAAAAGCAAACTCCCACCTCTCAGCCTCCTCTGCGTGCTGTAGGTTGAAGAGCAGCGAAGGCACGATTTTGTCCATATGCTGCGGGTCCCAGATGTTCGCTTGGAGTTCATCATTAACCGTCTTCCTCACCACCCCCTGCAGGCCTTTTATGCCCGACATCCGGATCCTGAAGGAAAGGATTAAAAAAAACACACCACCACACGGATGAAACAGGGCTACCCATTCGTTAGAAGGTCTGAACGCCGTGACTGAACAGCTGGGGGTTACCCATCCCTCAGGTATGACGCTGGGCACATTCGGGGAGAGACGGTCATCCAGAGATGAGAGCAGTGGACTGGCCATCCTTTTCCTCACTCTGCCAGAGGAATGTGATCTAGTGCTTTGTCCCTCTCTAGCGCCTTTCACCTCAGGCTCTCGGAGCACTTTACAAACTTCAAATTAGTCCTGACAGCAGCCAGGATTTTGGTTCAAGCCCATCTTGACTTAGAAGCAAATAAGCAAGTGGTGTTATTTCTCTGTGTCCTAGCAGACCCCAACAGGCAATGGGGCAGCTAACGGAAATTAGCTTTGCTCCATTGACTTTAATGGTGGCATGCCAATTTCTACCCACTGAAGATCTGGTCCAAGATAATGCACCTCTACCCTGATATAACGCGGTCCTTGGGAGCCAAAAATCCCTACCACGTTATAGGGGAAACTGTGTTATATCGGGGGTAGCGGGGGCAGGGCTCCGGCAGCGATTTAAAGGGCCCGGGGCTCCCCGCAGCAGCCAGAGCCCTGGGCCGTTTAAAGCGCCGCCCAAGCCCCACTGCCAGAGCCCCGGGGTTACCACATTGTATGCAAACCCGTGTTATATCGGATCACGTTATATCGGGGTAGAGGTGTATGATCATTCACATCTCCCTCTAATGGCTGGCTCCAGCAAGAAGAGACTTCTGCTTTGTATCAGCTCAGAGAGGTACTCCTTTAGCGTGAGTGCTGTCCTTTCGGTTCTGAAGGTCCTAGGTTCAATTCTAGCGAACTACAAAAATGTCTCTGCCATCAATGCTTGTGCAAGCAGTGCCTGCGCATCCTCACTCCCAGCCTAGCTCACTGCAGCACCACTGCAGATATGAGGCCCAAGGTGGTTAAAAGGGACATAACCCGGAAAAACGTACCCTCCTTAAGGGATGGTTCACCCCACGCAGCATCTCTTCCCTGGAAAATGACTGCATTGTTTAAAGACATGGTTTGAATTCCCAGCAATCCCAGGGGGAGAAAAACCCTGCAGTGTTCCATTACGTTTAGAGAGAACACATCCATTATAACTTCAGGGGAATTGTCCCAGGTCTGAACTTGGCCCTGTAACCTCACTTATCAATAAACATTAAGAATCAGACCCTCCGCTGGAATAAATCAGTGAGATCCATTGATTTACAGCAACTGAGGACCTGGCGCTGAATCACAGACTGAGCTCCCAGGTAGCTTGTTGACTTTCATCAGGTGAAACAGGTGTGCGAGGGCTGAGACTAGAAGAATTTTGTTCTGTGTTAAAAAAGTGGCTAATAAGCAGCTATGCTGCAGGAGAACAAACATCCCCTTGCATTAGAGATGCAGGCGGTGTCAAGGGAACTGGTGTGTGAAGTACATGGACAGAACTGTTTGAAATACAGAGGATGTTTCCTAGTATCCCAGGGCAGGGCAGATCGTCATGGATGGAGGGGTTGGCTGAAACCAAGTCAGGGGGAAAAGAGGCCCCATGCAATTGGAAATCATGACCCTGTGAATAAGGGTCACGGGATAGTTGCTATTTTCTCCACGTTTTCTAGGCGTTCATTTCTCAGTGAACTGTTTGCAAGTGTCGTAAGAGCCCCCCAATTATAAACTATAATGTTCCCCTGGTAAGTCACCGGCAAGCCCTTCCAGCGAACATACTGCAGCTGTGCGTGGACCAGCACGTCATGGAGCCCAAGAAACGTAGGCCCTAATCCGGGGCTCAAACAAACTCCCCACTGGGGCACTAGAAGTAAAGAGGGGCGGCAGTCTGTGAAGGCTTTCGACCAGTAAAACCGGAGCGGGAACCTCAGGACTTAGCCCACTGCAAACAGAGATGGGCCCAGACTCTAGATCCAAATGCGCCTGGATGTCGGGGCATCTGCAATCCCAGTGGCAACTGAAACCCACTTGGCCCCACCCTCCCCAGCAGCCCCCCCACTGCCTGCCCCAGAGTGACCCTCTCCCCTCCTCCCCCCCAGATTTAGTCAGGGGTATTTATAGTATAAGTCGTGGATCGATCACAGGCCGTGAATTTTTTTTTTTATTATTATTATTGCCCATGACCCGTCCATGACTTTTACTAAAAATACCCGTGACTAAATCGTAGCCTTAGCAATGGCTCCTCTCTCTTGCCAATGAGCTGAATCCAAACACTCCCGGCACTGGGGCTGTTAGAGCCTGAATCTCACTCCAAGTATCCTGGAGCCCCCAGTCCTTCTCGAGCTGTGACACCAGCTGAACAGCGTGCTATGGGTGCCGCGTGGTGTATTATTCTTCCTTGTGATTGTTCAAATATTAAAAGTTGATTCTTCATGTGTGAAAATGCAATTTTCAAAGCCTTAGCACTCAGCCAAATCTCATCCAATTGTCACTAGAACACTTCAAGGCATCTCTTCTCAGTTAAGGCTAGTTCCTTGTCAAATATCAGCTTCCTAGTCCCAGCCGATTCAGCCAGACAGCTGTCAAGTGTCTATAATGTTCCCCTGGTAAAAGCTGCCAATGTTACTTTTCCCCCACTGGGAAAATATTTTCCCCATCGCTCTGTCTGTTCTCCGAAATGGCTGGCGTGGTTTTATTCCCACTTTCCAAAAGAAAAAAAGTCTCCTTCAAGCAGCAGGCCCCGAGAAGCGAAACCTGAAAGTTACAAGTGACTGCAACCTTAGCTTTCTCTAGCCAGGTTCTCGCACTGGTACCCACCACTGCACTATTGGAGCACTAGTCTATCTGAAAGGCCGGGTGGTCCAACGGTGGGAGCTCTGGACCTTAGGATCTACTCCCAGCTCTGCCAACGACCCACCCTGGGTCATGTCCCCTCTCTGTGCGTCTGTTCCCGCCATTAGTCGGTTTAGATTGTTAGCTCTACAATCAGAGGAGAAAGTAAGCCGGTCTGGTCCGGTCCGGTGTACCGGCAAGAGCCAGTACGCCGTGCCAGACTGGACCGGCTTTCCCGGCAGTGATTTAGAGGGCCCATGGCTCCAGCCACTGCTGGGAGCCCCTTGCCCTTTAAAGCGCCACCAGAGCTCCAGCAGCGGGGCTCCCGCGGTGATTTAAAGGGCCTGGAGCTCCGCGGCGGCCGGAGCCCCAGGCCCTTTCATTCGCCCCGAGCCCCGGGGCTCCCAGCCGCCTCTGCAGCTGGTAGCTCCAGGGTGATTTAAAGGCCCTGGGGCTCCCAGCCACAGCCAGAGCCCCAGGGCCTTTAAATATTGAAAGGCCCCGCCTCTTCCGATTGAGGCCACACCCCCTCCGATTGAGGCCACGCCCCCGCTCAGGACTCCGGCGTACCGGTAAATCCTTTAAGTTACTTTCACCCCTGTTTCCAATCTAGTGCAGGGATTGTTTCTTACCATATGACTGCACAGCGCCCATGACAATGTAAGTCCAGATTCTGGTTGGAGCACCTAGGGCTACCATAAAGCTACTAATAGTGTGTCCAGCTGCACTGAACTAGTCCAGGACAGCAAAACGTCATGCCCTTAGCTCTGGGTTTGTGCACAGTCTGAGCATTGGCTGTTCTAAGGTTCCAGATTCCAAGACCAGAGATCAAACGATCACCTCTTCTTGACGCTGCTCTGAAGCACTGGATTATTACTCTGTGCCGTCCCTGCCCTCTCCCTGCTTGTTATTCCTCGGCCTTTGAAAGGCTTTCTAGAACGCCTAACCTCGCTACGAGAGGAGGGGAAGCAATTCAAACTCAACAGACCGCAGCCTAACCACGGGCAAAATATAGTTACGAGAACAGCAGGGCGTTACTGAAACGGCCCCCAGTCAAACCCCAGCACCAGAGGGCCTGGAGCAACGGGTCTCAGCTGGCTGGCCGGCTCAGTGTGCTTCACACACTGCTGCCGTGGCATTGCTCCAAAAGATGGCACGTAATATATCTTTGGAAAACTACTAACTCACCGCTCATTCGTGTCCTTGCGGGATGTGGGTACAGTTACCCTACAAAGAATTATATAGATGTGCTGGAAAGCGATTAAAACATGTTTGACGCAGGCATGCCAGTAGAAGTTGATAAACGGGTTTTTCCAGACGAAGGAAAGGGGCGGACACCTGAAGCCAGATGTGGCCAAGGACAGGGGTCTATTCTTTCGTACTGGACTTTGCAGGAAGATCATTTGCATTGCGAAAATCACAAGCGGGGTAAAAGCCAGGATGGCGTCTCCACCACACAGCATGGCGTCTACACCCAGCATGGAAAGGAACTTTATGTGGGGAGTCACTTCAGAAGAACACATTTCAAAGGTTTAGTGGTCTATAAAGAGAGGGGAAGAAAACCCGTAAGTGGCCCTTCACCTGAGGAGACAAAGGGCTTGTCTACTCTTGAAATGCTACAGAGTAGACGCTACTCTAGGGGTTCTCCTGTCGGTGTAGGTTATCCACCTCCCCGAGCTAGGTCGACAGAAGAATTCTTCCATCCACCTAGCGCTGTCTGCACCCGAGCTTAAGTCAGCTTTACTACGTTGCTCAGGGGTGTGGATTCTTCACACCCCTGAGAGATGTGGCTGGGTCAATCTAACTTTTTAGTGTAGACCAGGCCAAAGAAACCAAGCGCTTTGAACTCTGTGTTGGGATCCTGGCTGAGGACTAGCCAGCCATGCTGGAAGAATGACTGCGGCGAGACAACTTCTCTGAACAAAAGACTCTCGTTTGTTGAATTTCAGGCTTAGCAGAGTGTTTTCACTTTTGTTTGTTTGTTTGTAACCATTTCTATCCTTATGGGATCACTTACACCGAGGTTCTCTTTTCACAAACGTGCTTTACGCAGGGCCGGCTTTAGGCCAATTCCACCAATTCCCCCAAATCGGGCCCCACGCCTAAGAGGGCCCCAGGCCCAGTGGCAGGGCCGCCCAGAGTGGGGGACAAGTGGAAGAGAATCCCTTCCCTGGCTAGAGGCACCTTTTTAATTTTTACTCACCTGGCGGTGCTCTGGGTCTTTGGCGGCACTTTGGCGGCGGGTCCTTCACTCACTCCGAGTCTTTAGCGGCACTTTGGCGTCGGGTCCTTCAGTGCCGCCGAAGACCTGGAGCAAGTGAAGGACCCGCCGCCAAAGACTAGGAGCGCGGCCCGGTGAGTACAAGCCCCACGTGTTTTTTTTATGTGTTTTTTTTTTTAAGTCATCCCTGTTGGGGCCCCGAAGAAACTGTTGGAATTGGGCCCCACACTTCCTAAAGCCGGCCCTGGCTTTACGTTTGCTATAAACCAGCTCAGTGCCGTGACTGAAGGGAAGGCGGTGTTAACCCCAGTTAAGCTAACAGGCTGCTGTATATTGTCTCTCTAAAGGAGCAGTGACCTTGGTAATGGTTGTGTGAGCGTTACAGTCAGAGGGGCTGGGAGTTGCAGAAAGATGTTGTGGGAGGAGAACTCAGGGCTGGAAGGGTTATTGAGTTCCCCTGCAAACAGGTGTTGACTGAACCTCTTCCTGGCCTGGGTGACCCCCCAGAGCGTCACAGTCAGTTACCGAATGCTTTGCAGGGGACAGAGAGGAGGTAATTTTAAGTGCTAGTTGTTTTTAAATGCACTGCAGATGAGATCACCATAAACAACACTAATCTGTCTGTGTTAGTCATAATTAATCCTCCCGAGGAGCATCTTCCCAGCACAGGAAAGCGAGCCGCTCATTAACACTCGCTTTCCGTATTTCAATATTATAATCAAGCACTCGGTCACATTAGTGGATTTTAATGCTGCTCTAAGGAACCAGCTCGACAGCACTGGAGACTGAAGTCCTATGTTGAACCACACACTAGGTGCACACTTCCTACCCATGTGCCTCAACCCTGATCTGAGTCACTTGGTCACTACCAATTTGACGGCCTCTCTCTAGTGAGTTCTGGTGGTCTCTGGGAGGTGGTCCTAGAGAGTGAATGTGTATCCTCTATGCCCAACAGCCATTGGCAAAAGAACTGGCTTACTCTATTAGGTGGCTGGGAGTAGATCCGGGTGGGAAACGGTTTTCCTCTCCTGCGAATATTTTCAAGAGTTCAGAAACTTTCCCGTTCCACATCAGAACAAAACGGAAAAAAAAAACAGGCAGGGACCCATTCCCCTGGGATGAAGGAGAGCTGGATTCAAGTCCTGTGCTCTGACCACTGAGTTACCCCAGGGCATCTGCCTCTTTCAGTTCTGCACCCAAGAGACCTCTCTCAATTAAAGTTCTGCCAAACCCAGTACGTTTCTTCAAACAGTTTTGATTCCAACACATCGGCATTTTCCAAATAAAAAAAAAAACCAAACATTTTGTTGAAAAATTCCCAACCGGCGCTAGCTGTGGGATGGCATGGAGAGCCACTGGATTCCATTCCACAAGTGGCTTCAGCTTCCAGAGGTTGTTCATAGGCTTCATTGCACAGTGATCCCAAGATGAAAAGCATCATGTAACAGCTTGTCTACATGGGGACACCCAGGCAAATTAATCCAAATTAATTTTAAAACGGATTAGTTAAACTGCATTAAACCTGTGTGGACATTCTCGTTCACAATTAGAGTGGCCTTAATTCAGATTAATTTAATTCACTTCCAGATGAATTAAGATGAACCAAATTAAAACTGAAGTCTTGATAAGAGCATCCACACAGGTTAATGAGGTTTAACTCATCCCCTTTAAATTTAACCTGTAGTTAATTCGGTTTAACTTTCCTGACCACCCTCAGGTAGACAAGCCCTAAAAGTTTCATTCACTTGTTCAGTCATTCGTTTGCTAGACAGAAGTGGGGGCTGAAGTGTTTTATTCCATACTCACTTTGTTCTGATCTCCAGCTCATCGTGACTGGAGTGGCACATCTCACTGAAGCGTGACACAAAGAAGTCATAGCTCCTGTGGTAGGACGGAGTGTCCTCTTCAATGTTCGCGAACTTCACAAACTGGAAAAAGGAAAACGAACGAGAGAAAGTCAGCCCAGAGGAAGGAAAGCAAAGGAGGGAGGGAGAAAAATGATTAGTAAGCCTCACCAAGCTCAACATCAGAAGCAAGCTCCTCACAGAGCAGGACACACCAACTCAAAGCAGCACCAGACCCTGCCAGAACAACAGATGCCAAACCGGCAGACATATCTCCACAGCTACAATGATCAACACCCCCCACAACACACCTGTCAAGATCCATGGGTCCTATTCACGCCTATCGCAACATCCAGTGCAATAAACACCCCACTAACAACTTCATGGGTGAAGCCAGATAACCAATACGTTCTCGAATTAACTCGCACAGGAAAATGATAAAAGACAGACACCGTATCACCTGTGCGTGAACACGTTTCACAAAGCGATCACTCTATAGCTGACCTCTCAGTCCTCGTCCTCAATGGAAACCTGCACAACACCTCAAAAGACCAGCCTGGGAGCTTAAATTAATAACTTCGCTAGTCACTAAAAATCACAGTCTTAATAAAGACACTGGTTTATGGCTTATTAAAACAAACTGTCACTCGCTAACCCCCCTTTTTTGTCCTATGACTGCAGAGGTGTTAACAGGCCACTTCACCTTGAATGTTTATGCTAGTTTTATGCTAAACTATCTGTCCCACCAGCTGGGACACTGAGCACCTTTCCCAGACCTGAAGAAGAGCTCTGTGGGGTGAAAAAGCTAGTCTCTTTCACCAACAGAATTTGGTCCAATAAAAGATATAACCTCACCCACCTTGTCTCTCTAATATCTTAGACCCAACACGGCCACACCACCACTGCAAATAATAAAAATCTCTCTTTTATCATTCTTATCGCTTTTATGGGCTCCAGTGATACAAAGAGGACTTAAAGCTGCATTAAAGGCATCAGCTGAGGATACCTCTAATGTAGGAGAATCCTGAGCTGGATAGCCAGTCCTATGCCAGCCCCCGCCATGGAGGGATAGGCAGGGGATTGGAAGGGGGATGTCACAGATGGCAGTGCAATGTGCTCTGGTGATCCTGGCTGGGGGAGCGGCACCTTGGGGGCCTTTTTCCACTGACAAGTTAGAGCACCCCTGAGGCTGCTCTAATTTGCATTATTGGCTGGTTCAACCTCAGTATCTCCAGGATCTGAAAGGATGGAAAGATGGCATAAAGCCATCTAATGCCCCTGGAAGGGCACTGAGCACTGCTCTAGCTGACCTGGGAATCTAGGCCTGAAAAGTGAAGGTTTAAAATAGCATTATGAGACTCTGAAAATCCAACTGGATTCTTCCTGCTTTTAACATCTCCACCAGGAAACAGTGGAGAATCTACCCGCAGAACTTAGCTGACAATTCTACTGCTGCGGATAGAATCCAGCTCAGAGCCGCACTGCTTCCGCAGGGCTAACTGGAGTAAAAACTTGTTGTGTCAGTAAAGTCAGCAGATCTACAGCTCGGGCCTTTGAGAGTCACATTTTCAAGCTTTTCTCTGCAACCACGAGGGCTAGAGACTTAGCCGACAGTCTCGGCAGTTTCTTTCCAGGACCTGAAGCTGCAGCTTTCAGAAAAACATCAAATACCGCAAGACTCAGTATAAAATTGCAAGCATTGGCATCTAACCTGAACACCCAGGGAGTAGCTGCGTTGAAGAGAAGGTGGTCGTTGCTTTCCTGAGTGTAACCTCAGACAAACCTCTTAGAAAGTTACCAATGCTGTGATACTTTGAACACACGTTGGATTTATTTTATCCCCAGGGAACGGCAGAGTCCTTGACATTTTTTTTTTGTGCTAACAATCCCACATGCTTTATTTTCTCATTCTCCAAACGCAGGCACAACCAATTCCCTGGTAAGATTTTGGCTACTATAGCCCGACAGACAATTCCTGTGCTAATACTATGCGGCACCTATAAACCTGGGCAGATAATGATTCGACAGCACGTGCAGTTTTCCTACATCACAAGGGCTGTGTCAGTAGCAGCTGTGTTTGGATGGCGTTGTGAGGCAGGCCGGGATACTCTACAGCCAAGCTATCTCCAAAACTGTCCTAATTACTAGTGCAACACAGCCAACACCCAGAGAGGAGCGACTGCTCGTGGAAGAAGGCTCCAAAAAATGCTTCATTCCAGGAGCTGTAGTCCAGCCTGCAGCCAGCACATCAGCTCTATGCTCCAAGCCACCATCTGTCCATTAGCAAAGCAATGAAGACTGCAGAGACCCACTCCCTCTGCCAGAAAGAGACATTTATGCATCACTTCTATTTAAGACTCCCTTGCTTTCATTACGGTTTTATCATGGCTAGTGTGGAGAAAGTGAATAGGGAAGTGTGTTTACCTCTTCACATAATACAAGGGTCTGGCTGGAGAATCTTGCCTGCATGCTCGGGGTTCAGCTGATCGCCATATTTGGGGTCGGGAAGGAATTTTCCTCCAGGGTAGATTGGCAGAGGCCCTGGAGGTTTTTCGCCTTCCTCCACAGCATGGGGTAGGGGTCGCTTGCTGGAGGATTCTCTGCGACTTGAAGTCTTTAAATCATGATTTGGGGACTTCAACAGCTGAGTCAAGGGAGAGAATTATTCCAGGAGTGGGTGGGTCAGCTTTTGTGGCCTGCATCATGCGGGAGGTCAGACTAGATGATCATAATGGTCCCTTCTGACCTTAAAGTCTATGAGTCTATGAGTAAGAACCAGGGGTCACCCAAATAAATTAATAGGCAGCAAGTTTAACACAAACATAAGGAAGTATTTCTTCACACAACACAGCTGTGGAACTCTTTGCCAGAGGATGTTGTGAAGGCCAAGACCATAACAGGGTTCAAAAGAAGAGCTAGATAAGTTCATTGAGGATAGGTCCATCAATGACTATTAGCCAAAATGGTCAGGGACGCAACCCCATGCTCTGGGTGTCCTTAAACCTCCAAATGCCAGAAGCTGGGACTGGACCACAGAGGATGGATCACTTGAAATTGCCCTGTTCTGTTCATTCCCTCTGAAGCACCTGGCATTGGCCACTGTCAGAAGACAGGATACTGGGCTAGATGGACCATTGGTCTGACCCAGTATGGCCGTTCTTATGTCTTCATCTGCAAAATGGGGAGAATACGACTTACCTCTGAAGTGTGCTAGGTCTATCTAGCTTCTAATATGGTGCCCATCACCATTGCAACTCAAAGTTATAGTGAGCACGTCAAGTCCTCCTCTCTCCCCCCACCAGCCAGATGGGGCTAGACTTGATTCTTTTTCTTTTCTCTGCTTGCCTATCCTGCGAGGCTGCTGGGAGAACAGCATCCAAATTGTCCGTCTGTATCGTTTATGCCACTCAATAAGAACATAAGAATGGCCATATTGGGTCAGACCAAGGTCCATCTAGCCCAGTATCCTGTCTTCCGACAGTGGCCAATGCCAGGTGCCCCAGAGGGAATGAACAGAACAGGTAATCATCAAGTGATCCATCCCCTGTCGCTCATTCCCAGCTTCTGGTGAACAGAGGCTAGGGACACCATCCCTGCACATCCTGGCTAATAGCCATTGATGGACTTATCCTCCATGAACTTATCTAGTTCTTTTTTGAACCCTGTTATGGTCTTGGCCTTCACGACATCCTCTGGCAAGGAGTTCCACAGGTTAACTGTGCGTTGTGTGGAAAAAATATAATGGGATTCAAAAAAAAAAAAAGTTCATTTTGTTTGTTTTAAACCTGCTGCCTATTAATTTCATTTGGTGATCCCTAGTTCTTGTGTTATGAGAAGGAGTAAATAACACTTCCTTATTCACTTTCTCCACACCAGTCACGATTTTATAGACCTCTATCACATCCCCCTTTTCCCAAGCTGAAAAGTCCCAGTCTTATTAATCTCTCCTCCTATGGAAGCTGTTCCATACCCCTTATCATTTTTGTTGCCCTTTTCTGAACCTTTTCCAATTCCAATACATTTTTTTTGAGATGAGATGACCACATCTGCACATATCATGGATTTATATAGAGGGATATGATATTTTCGGTCTTATTATCTATCCCTCTCCTAATGATTCCCAACATTCTGTTTGCTTTTTTGACTGCTGCTGCACATTGAATGGCTGTTTTCAGAGAACTATCCACAATGACTCCAAGGTCTCTTTCTTGACTGGTAACAGCTAATTTAGACCCCATCATTTTATATGTCTAGTTGGGATTATGTTTTCCAATGTGCATTCCTTTGCATTTATCAACATTAAATTTCATCTGCCATTTCGTTGCCCAGTCGCCCAGTTTTGAGAGATCCTTTTGTAGCTCTTCGCAGTCTGCCTGGGACTGAACTATCTTGAGTCGTTTTGTATCATCTGCACATTTTGCTCAGCCTCTGCCTTCGGTGTTCAAATCATTGCATGGGCAGAAGGGTCTGATTTGCCTCTAGGCGCACGATTTTTGCTCTCTTAATAAAATGTCAGATCCAAAGAGGAAATGAAAGACTGGCTTTGTGCAATCCAACAAGCCGGCTCAGCCGCACTGGGAACTGTTCCCAGAAAAAAGGGACCCACTTTCAACCTATAAATGCCTCCATTATTTACCAGGAAAAGCAGCAGTGTTATATAATGAACCTTATACCACTGGCTGCACAAGAAGGGAGCCGCCTGCTTAGTTTACTGCACTTCCAGGTGCTGATATGGGACAAGACTTGGACCCGGGGTGAGAGAACTGGGACGGCTTCTCCTGCCCATCCCCCCCACCAGGGAAGGAGCTAGTTATCCCAACAGAAGACACTGATTTGAATTAGTTTCCAGTGACTGTCACCCTAGAATCCTAAAGCTCCCTTCAATGTCGGCTGGCACCGGCAGTGCTGGCTGCAGCATCTCCTGGCTGAAGCAGCCTCTCCTTTTCGGGGAGGAGGTTTGTTTAAAGTAGGAGGGCATTTAGTGCTCCCAAAAGATGCCCGATTGACACGCTCCAGAGCGCAGCATACAGGCAGCGTGAGCTTCTTGCATGCTGCCCGTCTCCTGCCAATCTGCCTCTTTCCTG